TATACTGTTGAAGTGCGGTGTACTTTAAAAAAAATACTATCATATTAAGTTCACGTGTAATAAATACAATACAATCTCTAATGAAAATACATCTATTAGTAACAGAGATTCTTAATTAAAAACCCGAAGAATCACAATAAAGTCCGGGCATTGCAAAGATATACTACGTCCGGTTTACTTAAGAGAATCAGCCTAATCACGAACGCCTTAAGATATGTGTACCAAAACCTACAATTTGTACTACAGATTGGTCCCTTGACACATTTAGCTTAAATACCTACCTACAACCACCCACGCTTGAGTCGGTGATTAATTGGAAACATTGCCAATTAAATGAGGCATTTAAACTGCCTTCGGAGCCAAATAAAATATGACATAATATGGATATATTTTGTAGCAATATAGCTGAAGAGTCCGTGTCACATGTCCTGATTTACTGTCCAATGTAAGGATATGACAGGTGTAATACAACAGTAAACATAAATAATATACTAATGATATATAAATATATATATTAATTATGAATAAAATCTTGCTGTTGAGCCAAAAAAAATATGACATATGGATTTATTTTGCAGCGAGAGTGCGTCACTACCACATAATATAATAATGTTATATAGGCGATATGCATATAATCTTAGAGACTAGGTAGGTTCGTAATATAATCACTCTATCTCTAACATAAAAACTTAGTTCGACAAAGCGCTGCCTTGCCTTGTAGCAATACAGCTGAAGAGACGGTGTTACATAAAATAAAAATAAATAAAAATATCGTCGCTTAGCTAACAATACCGCACAAGTCATATTTTAGCCAAATGACGTTTTTTACACCATTCGATAGATTACTTTCCCGCGCGTCTAATGAGCTCTCGCTAGAGGTAATATCGTCCAATAAGAGCGCGTTATTCAAAAACTAGTAACACAACACAACTCATTGGCTGCGCTAACACCGCGCAAGTCATCATAACGCCATAGTAATTTGGCCGTGCCACGTCGCACCTTATAAGATCGTTTGTCGTTTTTAAAAAAGCGGATTTTTTGTAACGGACTGGCTCCACTGATGTAGTTTAAAGGTAAGGTAACTTAAATAAAACATAGTATTCATATTTTATCTATTAAAATACGTCATACGATTGCTTTTAAAAACATGAATACTTAAGCGGTGTTGGAATGAACAGTTTCGTTGAGTTAGGCGGTTTTCTCTTTACTTGGTTTCGATGTCTGAATGACTTACAATGTACTTCTGTGTTGAGTTTCTGACTGCTGCGGTATTCATCGATATAATTAGCGATTTTTACGCAGTTTTTTTAATGATTACTATATCGTAATTATATTATATTTTACTTCAGAACACGAAAATGGACAAAATGGTCGATAATGATACCACGCCTGATGACTTTTCAAGAGTTGACGCTCAATGTAAAGTTATTACTTTACGTGACTTACAAAAGAGACATAGAGAAAAAATGTTATTAAATACATTGGGTATTAAAGAATGGTTTGTCCGATACTGGTTGATAACGACAGATTGTGCTATGCCACCGCCTTCTGAGATTTCTCGGAATGTAGATTGCTCCAAAAAGAACTCTGATGGTCACGAGCGTCTACAGCAATTTTTAGATAGCCTGCCGAAGATGCCATCGTCTACTGTCGAGCAAACTCATCCAGACGATACCTAGAACCAGTATTTCATACCATGGCACAATTAAACAAAGAATACGTCAGTAAATGCGAATTAGATTCCTTAAAATGTCTTAGTCGTAGGGTTTTTGACAATGTATTCTTAAAACAGAATCTTAGTCTGTTTCATCCCAAAAAAGATCAATGCGATGTATGCTGTGGTCATAAAGTTGGAAATATAAACGATACTGAAATTGCAATACATCGCGATAGGAAAGACAAAGCTAGAAAAGAAAAAGACACTGACAAAAAATTGGCAATAGAAGGAAAAACGTGTCATGTATTTACGCAAGATGTTCAATCAGTAAAATTTGCTCCCTACCTTCAGGCTAGTGCCATATACTACAAGACATTTTATCTGTTCACAATTTTACCATGTACAATTTGTCAACACATGAAGCTTGCTGCTACTGGTTCGATGAATCAAATGGCTCCCTTGAAGCTTCTGTTTTCGCATCGTGCATTGTGGATCAACTACAGATAATTTTAAATAGAAAATTACTACCGGTAATATTGTATTCTGATGGCTGCTGTGCACAAAATCGAAATTCCATCTTAAGCAATGCTCTTCTGCGTTTATCCATCGATAAAAAAGTTAAAATAACTCAAAACATCTTAGAAAAAGGTCACACGCAGATGGAATGCGACTCTGTGCACAGTGCCATCGAATGTAGATTAAAGGGAAAAGAAATTTACCTTCCTTCCCAGTATGCGAATATAACAAAGACAGCTAGAGATAACCCAATGCCATATGAGTCTCGATTATTAGAATTCTCTTTTTTTACCAATTTCAGTAAGGATTTAATTTACAAAACCATTCGTCCGGGCAGAAAATTCGGAGATCCCACTATTACCGATTTAAGGGTATTAAAATATAAACCAGATGGAACTATTTGGTATAACTTTGACGAACCTTTGCAGCCGTTGCCTCAGCGTCCAATGAAAATTACCAATGTAAAACCTTTAGAAGAGCTGCCGAAATTATTTTCTGAAAGACTGCCAATTTCCCAAAGAAAATATAAGGATCTCCAAGATTTAAAGGCAGTGATACCTTCGAACTGCCACGCATATTATCATGATTTACCTTATAAAAATTAAATATTTTTCATCCATAAACATTTTGTATTATTTTTAGAAGTAGGTTAAGTATTCGAAGTGTTCTTATTGTCTTATATTGTTTGTGTTAAATGTACCATTTTATTAAAGTTTTTGAGAGTTTAGAATTATTAGAAGTTATGGAAAAAATTACCTAAATTACAAAGCAAACCACCTCTGGTTTCCATTGTAACTTAGATAATTTTATTGATCTCAGTAGGTAAGTAGTTGATCTCGTCAAACAGTACAGTCGTAAAAGTCAGTGAGTTCCTATAATATATTATAATATTAGCGAACCCGGCAAGGGTTGTCCTGTTGGAATAAGAAAATAAAACGGCAAAGAAATGTGTTTTTTTTTTTTGATAAAAAGCTAATTTAGCAATCTTTTTTTATTTTATTGAAGTTAATAATTAGTTTTATAAAACTGTTTTTGAAAAATGTTTTTATTTCGATAGTTTTTCATAGAAAATTTTCTATGAAAGACTTATAGAGCTTAAATATAAAAGGTAAAAACACCGCGTAAGTCTTTATTTTGTTAGAGTAAAACTGCTCAAGTCTTGAAAATGACCTAATAAGACGATATTTCTTTTATTTGTTTTTATAGTTATCATGCTTAACTAAATACAATATATTAAAATTTTTATCATGCATGTATTGTACAAAATGTTAAAGTAATACAGTTTTTTGTCTCTCCTGAAAACTAAGCAAATCTGACTTATGCGGTATTGTTAGCTAAGCGACGATATGTTTATTATGGAACATAAGATACAGGTATCACTTATTCCACGTCATTAAATTTGAATCTGTAGGCATCCCTTCTCATCGGCAAAGAAGACAGAGGATGTAGGCCGAGAGAAAAAGCCGGCGTAAAAACTCTCGGTACTCTTTCATGTTCTGACTCACTGTCCAATGTATGGATACGACAGGTGTAACTGTTCTGTTCTAAAGCTAAGCAGCTATGGGAAAAAATAACAGAGATGAACTTAAAAGAAATAATATTCAACAATAGGTTAAGAGGCATCTTTCTGGAATTTACTGGAACATATACGTAAGATATTTAATACCTCTGACGACAACATAGTCGGGGAATTAGCTAGAAAATATATATATATAATCAATCTATTCCTATCTATGTTGTAAACCTGACACACGACACTGACAGCAGTTCCTACGTGTAATGTACAACATGATAGGAAGAAATACTAGTTACGATTTTGTTAAAAATATATTTTTATCACATATAAACATAAACATGAAAAAAAATAAAAAACACTATAATCATTTCTATTAAAAAGTAAAATATAAGGTGCCCAATCATCGCCACTTGGTGATAATAGAGTAAAAGATAACCTCTTCGAGAGATACCTTCAATTCACCGAAAACTAATCATGTTATCCTACTTATACACCAGTGGAATACATTTTGTGTAAATATTATGAATTTCGTAATTAATACAGGTGAATTTCTTGAGCAAGTCGAGAGAGTGTCAATGTAAAAATGAAAGGTGAAACGATTCTGCATGCGACTTGATCCGTCATGATGTCCATTTATCGAACCACAATCAAACACTGCGTCTTGCGTCTTATGTTTTACATTCTCACCACCCATTTCAGTTACAATGAAGCTTATCTTCATGCGCTGCTTAGTATTCCCTTTTGCTTTAAGATTGACGTACTATCAAAACACCAGCATCGCGCCAACTTACAGCTGACGTATTTAGAATTTTAAGATACGTCTAAATATGACTAATTTTATTTATCTATTGTACTTAATTGACTTATGTTTTCTGTTTCGTATATTTTTTTTAACAATGTAATCTGTATATTGTCTAAGTGATTTATTGTACAATATGTATTTGTGCACCTGTAAGATTACTTATAAATAATAAAAAATCGATTTATTTATCTATTTGGGAAACAAAACAAATCATGACAGCACAAAATTTATAAATCCGAACATCGACAAACATAGACATGCTTTTTAAAGACACTAATCGGAAGATCTTTTAATTCTTTTGGTAATTTATTGTAAACCTTTGCCATACAAAAGGTGCTCTTCCTAAATAGTTACAGATTGATTTTTAGCACAGCCAATTTTAATAAATGATTATGTAAATGTATAAAGTTTAGAATCTAGCATTTAGCTAGATTTTACATGTTTATGCTAAGGTCACAATTAAACCTATTAAGAGACGACTAAATAATACTAAATTGCTATTATTTCAGATGTTAGCTTACAGTGCACTAGCTGCATTGGACGGATACAGCGCGCAACAATATCCGGATCAGTTCCATATACAAACAGACGAAGACGACGAGAGATATTTCCTGTATCAGACGCACAATGGCCAATATAGGAAAGAGAGGAGGTTAAAAGATGGCTCTGTTGTAGGTAAGTGATTTTTTATTTCATTACTATTAACCAATTTGTATGAGTAACTAGACCAGTGTTTCCCAACCTTTTTTGTGCCATGCCCTTAGCCTTACTAAAATGAATAACCCCCCTATTCAAAAAAATCGTTAAATTAGAGAAACATAAATGATACCTATCATATTTTTCCTTTTTATGAAGAAATTACTTGGAAGTTAACGATACACAGTAAGTTAAATATAATGAAAAACTTAAATTCTATGAAAACCAATTATTGTACGTGTATTTTGGGTCATATGTCGGTTAAGTATTAGTACTTTTCTTCACTTGAATTGTTAAATGTGCAAATCGTAAAAGATACTTTGGTAGCAGGTAGATTTTATTAGCATGCTTTTACGTTCCTAATCAGAATACTAGGACACATACATTATGCCTATGTGTATATAATTCATCTTTGCTCAACCATTTTTATGTTGCGACCCACGAAAAAGCAATAAATTTAGTAACACAAGTTATTTATTACACTATAATTATTATATAATTATTAATTATTCCTTTAATAAACTTATCTTTTGTACCTACACGTAGTTCGTATTTATTATTTTTCAACACACAACCTTTTAAAAAAAACTCGACCAATCGTTTGAGAAACGATGATATAATCTATACGTTCAGTAAATAAACCAGATATGGCAACTTTAGAACAGGCGTCACGAAGTTAAAATTTAAAACAGCTGTGTTAGCGCCTGCCATTTATAATTGAGCAACAATTGTCAAGTAGTTCACTGAAAGATGTCGAATCCTATCTATGGAAAAGAAGCTATAAGTTATGGTTCAACTATTTTTGAAGTAATACTTCTTTTGGTGCGTTAGGGGAAAATTATGAGAGTAAATATTTACGATGCGCGCACACTCCGTCACAAAAAATCGACACCCGCACACCGTAACAAAAAACCGTTACCCTGAATATTTGTTCAAACGTCGGTAAATCAGTCTGAGCCGCTAGTTGGCGCTTGCTCTGTTTTATCGAGAAGTTGCATTGTCCGTCATGGCGTAGTGTTTTTTAGAATCGTGTTTATTTAAAGCAATATAATGATTTCTATACGAGAAAACCAGTTCCAATGTGATAAAAAACATAGTGTTTATTGTAAAATATCATTATTAGTACATATTATTTGGTTCCGATTGGACAAGAAAAATGCAATTCGAAGAGGGATACGTCCCTCTTAAGTGCTTGAAGAAAACTATTACAACTAAACTATAGCTTAAAGTGTATAAATGTGATTACAGGAACAACTGGCTGGGTAGGCGCCGATGGCTACCTTCGGTTACAAGACTACATAGCTGACGACCAAGGCTACAGAATATACAAATCAAAGACTGTATATGTGGGCGATCGTTCAATAGGAGTGAGTATAATTTGGTTTGCAAATAATGTTGTTCATCGACTACGACGAACCCACGAACCAGATTCAACTAGTTTCTATATTTAAATAGCACAGCAAACGCATAGTGTTTGAAAATTGTTACCCGGCAATAAGGCAGCAAATTTCTACGCCTATTTTGTTGAATATTCGTCAGGCTTCTTTGCCTCTTTTTACTAGTTCGTATGCGAAACAATTATTGCTTCCCTAGACATTGTAGACAATGGCTTTGGTGTCATAGTGTAAACCACCTGTTGTATGCTTCGCCATCTAATAACGATTTTTGAAGTGAAAACTTCTTTAGCGGCGTTGTACACTTTTTTTGGAATGGGTAAAAAATGTTAAACTCGCGTCAGGACACGTAACCTGAAATCGTGATCGAAAATTCGTAAGACGGATGGAGAGTAGACAGCTAGCGTATTTAATGTAATATAAATTTTCATGTTTGTGTACGATAGCGCAATAAATAAATATTGTATTCTACCACATAAATGATAGTACTTTTATACTGATAATTAAAGCAATTCGTGCAAAATTATTCCCTAACCATTCCAAAATATCAAAAATGCACAACGGTAATATTTAAGTTTTCACTTCTGCCGGCACTCCCAGAGGGCAACCCGTCGTTTTTTATTATCTATAACATCTGAGACCTTATGATTTAGTTAAAATTATTATGCCTGAAATGAAATCATTAAAATCTTTACAAATTATGTTTCAGGAGTCACTGAAAATAGCCAAAACAGCGCCAACTGACTCTGGATTTAACATTACACCGGCGCCGGCTGCACCACACCCAAATCGGGGAACACCAAGATTTAGTACCACCACTAAATCTCCTCTCTCCCCATCGACGACCTTAGAAACTCCAGAATATCCAGAAGTGACGGTTTCCTCTACACCATCACCATACATTCCATCTTCAACGCCTCGAGTCGAAGTATCGCCTAACTCCATCGATTCATCAACATATGACTTCAGACCAACGGTTCCCCCCATAACATCGGAAGAAGCGACTTCATCCCAGAGTCCTTATGATTATGACGGGTCCAATTCTATTGACGGATACTACGCCAGTGACAGCACTCCATACAAACGCTATGATGTCTTTAATCCAAATTCGTATAGGCACGCTGACGCAGGGCGACAAAGACAAAGGCAGGGTCAAGAAATTGGTGATGGTTACACTCCCCAATTTCCGGGATACGACGGTGTAGCCTTTAGGCGAAATGGTTTCCGCTATTACCTACCAAAACAGTACCACGAAGAGCAAACACGAGACTCGGATGAGAGAACTGGTAGTTTTGGTTATGTCGATCCATTTGGTATTCGACGAGTAATATATTACAACACCGCACCGGGGCAAGGTTTTCAAATTCGCAAAAATAATAGATATGTTGGCCATGATGCGACACCCTACGATCCTAGGCCAATTAATTAATATTAATTTAATTCGACCATGATAATAGTTACCACCTCATATCAGTATTTAATAAAAATGGTAGAGACAAACGCGATCTTCGAACGAATTCTTAGCCACTACATATAGCTAAGTTAGTCATAAGATAATATTTTAATTTATTAATAGCTATTACGTATTTATTAAGAGCACAAATTATTAATTACTTTCTATGAATACTTAACAAATTAATATCTTGAATACGATGCATGCTGAATACGATGGTATGAGTCAACCAAAGAAATCGTTGAGATAAAAATGTACCTTAACTGATTTTCTTCTTTCTTAAATCTTGTTGCTTTATATGGGTTTTATTTAAAGTTATTGAGAATAATTTGTCATTGAATATTTTTATATTATCTAAATCAAAATATTTGTTATACGAAAATAATGACGACTTGTTCCAATAACACTGAAATGGTTATTTTAAATATTTGTTGCAAAGTGTTTTCTCTTAACATGCATATATATATATCGAAAAATAAACTGTACAATAATAAAAATACCATTTATAATGTGATGATGTGTGATGACATTTTTTTTCATTATTTTAACTTAATTGCGTATAAGTCATTTTCATAAGAAATCATGTATTAATTAGTTATACATTAATAAATTGTAAATAACAGGAATAGTTAGTAATTTGCACAAAACTCAGTGATTAACTATGTACAGTAATTAAATTATTTAATTACCAATGTATTTTGAATAAAAGATCCTGGTTTACCTTAAGTCTTTCATATTACAAATCGCTTGCAATGTGAGTAGACCCTTCAATATTGATTATTATTATTTTTAACTCTTGTTGGGTGTATATTTTACTGTATTTATCTTTTCAGGAAAATGAAGATCTTCATATTGAGCCTGTCATGGATAGCTTTAATTGTAGTGGGTGAAGAGTCGAATTTGAATTACGAAAATGGCTTCGATGGTCGAGAGGCACCCACCCTAAAACCTATTGATTATTCAAACGCTATCTACCAACCACGTTTTGCACAAAATCCTACATCCTTTAGATACAAACAACAAAACACGGACCATGTTCCAAAAGTTCCAGCAGAAAAAGAAAATATTCGACACTATTTTCGAGTACGTAAGCCAATTGCAAGAAGGAAAATATTTCATATACAAAAGGAAAGTGAAGGTAACATACCGTTAGCTGAATCCGATCAAGTTATTAATGGAACAGTTATTAAAACTAATTCTACACCAGAGGAGTATCTTATAAAAAACGATATGGCCCAAGACAAACATGATGATTACATTTTGGACAAGTTACCTGAGCTATTTGAATTCAGGCAAGAATCTATTATACTACCTTTAATGCAAGATACAAATAATGTGAAAATAGCTGCGGGAGATGTGACAGAAGCTACAATGACTGTTTTAAATGATATGGTATCACCTCAAGAATCACTTTTAAGTATCGATGTGAGACCAAATACTCAAAATAACGAGAAGTCTCCTGAGTCTGATAATGAAGAAGAAACTGATAACAATTCCTGGTTGAAATTAGAAAAAAATGCTGAAAATACAGAGTTACTACATATCGAGGAACCCAATGTAGACAATCCTACTATGATGGTAACTAAATATAATTACTTAGAAACTACCACAAAAGCTTCTTCATCCCCATTAATAGAAATTCTTTTGCTATCTGATGGAGGCCTTAAGTGGGAAATGAATGATACAGTTGACAACGTTCCAAAACTGCTTGTTGAAGAATTAATCATAGTTCCTGATCCTTCACCATCATCAATCATCGATGGTCGAGTTACAGAAGCAAGTGGACCACCAAAAAGTGAGATGGTTCTAAAAGAGAGTGAAGATAAAATTGTATTGTACGATCAATCTACGGTCAATTCAATAAAACAAACCAATAGAAGTATTGAACCAAACGACATTATTTTATCGCCTGTCGTCACTGAAACTTCAGAACCTAGTACTGAAATGAGGCTTGGAGGTATTAAAGGTCATCTACTCACAAATTTATCAACTCAGACCGATTCCAAAATGAATATAACATTAATAAGCAACGATGGAAATAAAAATGTAAAGTCACCACGAAGGCGCCTCCGAAGACGAAAATTAAAGAAGAATAAAACTTTAAACATAAAACCAGGAAAAGTCGAAGATTTGAACACGAATGATAGTATACCTATACAAAAAGATGATGCTTCTACAATTAGTACTGACATTCCAATTACAGATCTTACTACCACACCGACAACAACATTATTTCAGCGACTTGGAGACTATTATAACACAAAAGTTCAAACCAGCACTCCTCGAAGTCGTTTTACCTCTTATCGCGACACAAAACAAACATTCAGAGGTCGGCACGGAAATCACAGGATTTCAAACCCAATTGAAGAAACACAAAAACAAATCTCGGTTCCAAGCTCTGAGAATGTTCTTTATCGTACTACAACAACCTCGCCATTTAGACAATATCGTGCAAAAACAAAATTCAGAAAATGGAATAGAAATAGAAATATCACTCCTACAGTAATAAATCCTCATGTAGATGTTCCAAAACCACCATTGGTTTCTGAATTACCTACCAATATTACAGGATATGTGGAAAATGTGTCATCCTTATCAAAAACGTTAGAGGAAAATCATGTTAAGGCCAACCATAGTACAACTATAAATAATGATAATCCTAAAACTGTTACTACGATTGAGATCTCTCAGTCTAATCATACGTCAAGCAGTCCACGTCGTATGCGTTATCGAAACAAGTTAAGACATATCAGAACGAGTACACAACCAACAACAGTAACGAGCTCGACAAGTGCTACAGTTGAAGTAATATCTACTACGTCTACCTTAGAAAACGATGAAAACGTTACATCTGGGAATCAGTCAACAGGAAAATCTAAGCGTCCTCCTCCACCTCCCCCAACACTTTCACCCTGGTATGACGGTTTTGGGAAATAGTGTTAGTTAATAAATACATAAATTATAGTAAATGTCAGTTTCTATTTATTTATATCCAAAAATTTTTTTATAAAGCGGTATATAAAGTTATGTGATTTATATGAACTACATGTAAAAGCTATGAGCTACTCCATGCTTATACGGAGATGTTAAGTGAACTTAGGGCTTCCTTTAAAGAAAATAGTTTTTTTAAATTATAGTTTAGTTAAATTACCCTTACCTACCTAAAAATCTAAACTAGATTTTTAAATAAAATTATGTGATTTATATGAACTAAATGTAAAAGCTATGAGCTACTCCATGCTTAATCGGAGATGTTAAGTAAACTTAGGGCTTTCTTTAAAAAAAATAGTTTTTTTTTAAATTATAGTTTAGTTAAATTACCCTTACCTACCTAAAAATCTAAACTAGATTTTTAAATAAAATTATGTGATTTATATGAACTAAATGTAAAAGCTATGAGCTACTCCATGCTTAATCGGAGATGTTAAGTAAACTAAGGGCTTTCTTTAAAAAAAATAGTTTTTTTTTAAATTATAGTTTAGTTAAATTACACTTACCTACCTAAATATTTAAACTAGATTTATTAGGTTATTTGTAGAGAATTATAACAAAGTCTAGCTTGATTACAAAACCAAAATGTGATATTTTGGGTGTTTATTCTTATTTAAAATTATGTTGAAAGAAAAATATGAAATACATGTAATAAATATGTTTAAAATATTTATATATATATTGACCACCCACTTATTTCGGTTTTTGTAATAAATAAATACCTAATAAAAATGACATTTTTATTTCATGACATCATCAATGACAATTTCTTAGATTTCAATATTCAGATGTTAAATTTTGAGTATGGACCATTGAAAATGCTGATACGGTTCCATGCTAGAAAATAATTTGATCAATCTCATCATCAGGATAATATTCTGGATATAATATAGATGCTCGGTTAAAAATCGGTTTTTTGAAAGGCCATTTAGAGGGAAACGATGTAATCCATGAAGGAAGAAAAGAAAATAATCCTGAGAAAATGGATGGCCGTCTGAATGGGACAGGTACATATGCGTCTTCATATACCGGGCTAGGTATTGCAACTATTGGTTCTGGCTCTATGGCAGCATTGGTATATAGATTTTCGCCATTTACTAGATTTGGCTGAACTGATTCTTCAAATCTTTCTTCTTCGTTTTCTTTTTCGTGAAGATTCTCTGTATCCTTTTCTTGGTTCTCGAGGTTATGAATATTCGATTGCTGATTAAAAGATCCGATCGTTGTGGGATTTATACCTGGCCCAGCCGCAACATCGGCACCATCTCTATCATTGCCTAGTTGTATAAGGGCATCTTTCTCTGTAGATGGTAGAGCTGCTACAGTAGCAACTAACCAAAAAATGACGACGTACTTCATCTAAACATAAAAAGATAGTCGAAATTATTTAGTATCTTCAAAATGGTTCTATCAAAGTGTACAAAAAGGGTCACATAGAGTGAAGTGATAATCGCTGCCCATGTGGCTTGCAAAACTATACTGCTTGCTAGAGTGTATGAAGATTTTAGATCAAGAGAATTGTGAGAAAATTAATATTATTATTATTATTAATCAAATCTGTTACTGCTAAAAAAATTCGATATGATTAAACAAATCATCACTTTTTTGAACTTCTTAAATTAAACATGAATTGTCTTACCTAAAAATCGCTATTCCTTTATTGATAAATACAAATCAATACTCAATTGATTTTGTTATTCAGTGCATTTTATACTCTTATAATAATTACTACAACCATTTATTTCAAATATTGATAATACAGCTAATGAACTATTCCATTACTAAAGTTTGGAAAAACATCACACGCTCTAGAATGTTTTAATAGATAAATATTTTTCAATATCTTTTGCCAAACACCTTTTTTGGAATTAGGTATATTGGTAATCACAAATATAATTGAACTTATATAAATAAAGTGCTATATATAAGTTATACGTTTACTTACGTAATTATTTATTTCTCGTTTAATGGCAGTTAAAAGTAGAAAAAGACATTTTCATTTTAAATTTTATTTTCTAATTGATACTCTCTTTAAATAACTGTAATAATCACTTATTCAAAATTAAACAATCACAAAATTAGGATATCTTATAAGCGGGCGTTTATAGAAGAAGGGGTTGGGATATTGTAAGAAAATTGGAGGTGGTAAAAGGTCTACCGGAACAGGTGCCTGAAGTCCATTTCCATAAAACAGAGGAGGCACGGCTACGTTAAACCAAGGTTTTCTTTCTTCTGCACAATTATATATTTCTCCTAATTCGTCTTCTTCTTTCTCAATATCAGATATAGGATAAGAAGTGATCTCTTCCCTTTCTGGTACTTTTTGTTTTTGATTTTCAAGTATGTGTACAGGCGCTACGGCTTTAGGTTCTAGTTTCATGTTGTGTCCTTTTAGCTTATTTGCAATATAACTCTTTTCTGCATTTGATCCTCGCTCTTTTTGTAGAACATGAGAATCAGATAAGGGTATTACATGTCCTTTTTTATTATTGAATGCTGATAACATTGGAGATGTTTTGTCTTTTCCTTTTAGTACTTGTTCTTTTAGTACTTGTTCTTTTTGTTGATTTTTAATTACAGGTAATGAGGAATGTATTTTATGTTCACCTTCTATTACTTCTTGTCTTTTTGAATTACCAGAAGCAAGTAAATTTGTAAAAGGCATTATTTCTTTTTTCAATGATTGACCGCTTTGTTGAGTTTTACTGTCGGGTAAATGTGAGGTGGTTTTTGGTTTACTTACTGAGATTTCTCCCTTTGATTGAATCTGAGATTTTGGAAAACTTTTCAACGTTATATCTTGTAATTGTTCTTTTGGTTGACTTACAGATTCAGGAATTGATGAAGGCGTTTTCGGTGCTTCACTCACTTTACTCGCTTCACTTTTGAATTCTTGTTCTTTTTGTTGACTATCAGATTTAGGAACTGGTGAAGATGTTATCTCTTGTTTTTCTGACACTTCTTCGTTTTGTGGACCAGCATTGAGTGCTGGTGAAAATATATTTTCTTTCAAGTGTTTGTGTTGAATATCAATCAGAGGTAAAGGCGTAGTATAGATAGTCTTTTGGTTTTCTAATCCTCTTACTTCCTGAAGAGAGTTAGATGTTACTAATGATGTTTGTTCTTCCTTTTCAGTAGAGACAGATAAAGTCGTACTTTCTCCTAATAATGTGTTAGTCTCTGTGATTGGAACGTTTTCAGTTGACTTTGGTTCTGCAAACTCATTAGTCATATTGTTTTCCATTTTTTTATTTTTTATAGTAGGTTCGTCGATGGTATTCAACGATATTTCTTTTTCTTTATTATGTTGTTCCTCATATGAACCCAAATCAAGCAGAGGTGTGTCTCCCCTCCCATCATAATAGTCTTTTGAGTTATTTTTAAGTTCACCAGAGTTTTCAATATTACTTGCGTTCCCTTGATTCAAATTATCATGTGGCAAATTTGTTGATTCTATTGGTAGCTTTTCAGTACTCAGGATATCAGTAATATTATTTAAAGCTGTATTATCAAGAGGTAGTGCGGTAGCTATCGCAGCGAAACACAATATTGCAAATACACACATCTGAAAAAATAAAAGTATGTTTATATGAAATATAAATATTGTCATCAAAATAAATATTCTTTTTTTTCTAATTATATAATATAAACATTACCTTGTTTGCGTTTTATGTATGTTTAACAAAATAGAGCTAGAAGCTTTTAGCCATAGTATAGCTTCAACTGCCAAATTAGCAATGAAAGTCTCAAAAAGTTACACACTTATATAAAGTCAATACGATATAATTATCAAAAATATATTAAAGGCACCTAATAAGGTAATTATAATAACCTAATCTTTTTGTTCAACGTAATCTTTTATTAGTTAATTGATATTACAATTCATTAATTAGTATTTAAATTTTATAGCAATAGATATTATCTATATTAGGTCCAACTAATTAGGAGTAACAAGCTTTAGTCACATTATTGATAAACCGGTATTAAATTTAAATAATTTAAGTATAATATTCGTCGAAACAAAGTAAGATTATGTTCAGTTTTGGTACGAATTCCAGCACATAATTGCAACAAAAGTGTTGCCCTAGCGGCTTCAGCGTGCGACTCTCATCCCTGAGGTCGTAGGATCGATCCTCGGCTATGCACCAAAGGACTTTTGTTTCTAAAGGGAAAACATAGTGATGAAACTGGCGTGTCTTAGACCTAAAAAGTCGACGGCGTGTATCCGGCACAGGAGGCTGATCACCTACTAGCCTATTAGATTGACATGATGATGAGATACAGAATGTTTGAATCTGAGGCCCAAACCTAAAAATATTGGTGCGCCACTGATTTATTTAAAATGGCATAAACAAGTAAGTAACACTCTTAAGATTATAATAAATACCTATTTCATAATGGTGACATCTATGGTCAATTTTTAAAATCTGTTAATTTTATTTATAAACACAATTGTTTCTATTAGGAATTGTGTTATTGTTCACCAAAGGATGTTGTTAATGATGATGCCTATGATGAAATACTGTGTATTATTTTGTCCTGAAAGAGCTAAGAAGTTTAATTGGCAATTTGATAGAATAGGATAATTCTGATAATTGAATTAAATAAACAATTAAATTACTTGTTTTATTTACCTGCTCTCCTGAAAAAGTAGAATTTTGAGATCTGATGAGTACAAGATCTTAATTCTAATCGATCGATCTAATATTTATTGTAACATTAAATTATGAATACACTACCAACTATTATGTAAAATATTTGTAACATTAATTTTAGCTGATCTGTTACTAGCCCAAAGCTGAGCTTAGAATTTCATAGGAAAAGCCAGCCCCTATCCGTTCTACTTCAAAATCTTCTGTCGTGTATTGCGTTGTGGTCTCGTCATTTATATCAGATGTCGTGTGGTTTATGTCAGTTTCCGTCACCCACGAAGCGGATTCTGTTACCACAGTAGTCTCTTCTTCGTTTCCATCATTTGTATTTGCTGTGTGCTCTTCATTGCTGTTTTTGTTTTGTTTGTCGTATCTATAAAAAATAGTTATCTAGGTCACAGAATTTACTTGACTAAAGAGAATTTAGAACTAAAGCAGTTATTGTCGTCAAGGTTCTCCCAAGGCTGTTAATTAACAAGTACAAGTGAGTGAATAGTGATCAATTTGGACCATCTCTATATTCGTATCTATATAAAATCAAAGCTTTGGACGGGACCTTTTTTACTAAATAAATAATACATTATTTTGGTAAACTATAGATATTCAGCCGTCTACGTGGTAATGATAGAATTTTTTGAACGCATTCTTTGGGAATAGTTTCTTCAGATTTTTCTGTTTTCGGTAATTATTAGAGATATTAGTATGTCGAAAGAATAATCTAATATGAAATGACTATCTGAGTCACTCACACGTCTTTGCGTAATCCTACATCTAATTCAGATTCCAAAATTCCTGTAGTGGAATTGTTTTGTAATCTCTCTTCAACAGGTGTGATAGCTGCCCCTGATACTGCAGCGACAAGTACAGATACAATAATCTATAACAAAACACAGATAGTTATGTTTATTAAAAAAATCAATAAAAAACAGTCAAAATATATTAAATCATATAAAAATTTGATATCTGTTTATAAGATTTTGCAGATAACCTGTTAATGTTAATGATTACCCTTGACCTTAGTTTTTTACACGACGGATTGATACGGTGTTCATGTGGTATTTATAAGGTTAATATGTATAATAAATATCCTTACTAATAAACTAACATCGATTTTAAAAGTATACGCTCTTGTTTCCGAGCAACTAAAGCGAGTACTAGCAACTAGAGTGAGTACTTTAAAAAAAAAATTGTTTATTTCATAAAACAAGGTTCCATACACTATGTCAGTAATTACAACTTAATAACTTAAATCTAAGGGTTAGTAGGTTTGCATATTAGAACACGCAAAAAATACAGGAATTCAATTATTCATACCCGAATCATTCCGCATGAAATGGCAGAACAGTGATTGAGGTATGCGCAATCGACTCGGTCCGCGATCATGCGTAGGATGCTGTTACCGCTAGCTTGCACCCTGCGTACCAAGGATGCACATCTCTTGCGCATGGTGGCGTAGAATTTTAATTTGAATTTTTGACGTGACAACGTCTTATAATTCGATGGAGCTGGTTGCACGCACGAAAAAACATGACGCATGCGGCGTTACCTCGCTCTGAGGCGTTCCATTTAAGGCTTTAAGTGCAAGCAAGAGCGCGGAACGAGCGACAAAGAGGCACAATCGGCCTTTGCGTTCGGCTCAATTCAATTGTGATTTCCATTTACCTCCTTCTCTATACCCATACAAAATATCTATCAAACAAATAAAATTAAAATTTTCTTTTGAAAAATGCAACCATTCCATCAGTATTTTCTTATGACGTTGTCACGTTTAACCATCGTCGGTAAACCAACTTTACAGACAACCGATTTTCAAATATATTAATAAAATTACATACATTGTTTGCGATTTACCCGAGTCATGGTACTTAATATATATTATAGCTACGTATATAATTTAATAAATCTTACCTAACCTTACATATATAGTACACTGTCTTAACCAATATAACTAATATACATATGTCTGAATTTCATTTACGATTCTGTTGGATGCTTCTACCATAAACCACTAAAAAGGAAATGGTTCAGAGGTTGGCCAAAAATAAATAAGATGACTGTAAGAGAAGTGACAAGATACATAAACATGTGGTGAAAGATTGACCCAGACCTTTTTTGACTGACAGACCTAGCCCTGAATCTTACATTCAGAAACGAGATGTAACTCGAACTATGACTCCTGTATGCAATATGTCTAATTCCAACACAATTTATCGTACTGGAGTGAGACTTAGCACAAAGTGAATCTTACCCAAACTTACTGTGGAAGTGCAACTTAGCTGGTTTTGTGTTAAGGTTTACACAAGGTCAGATGAACTAAATTTATAAATGCAATCAACAAACAAAAAATAGTTTTTTTTTATGGAACAGGGGGCAAACGCGCAGGAGACTCACCTGATGTTAAGTGATACCATGGACACTCTCAATGCCAGAGGGCTCGAGAGTGCACTGCCGGCATTTTAAGACGCGCTCTTTTCTTGATTAGAAGGTATTTATCTGAACAACTCCTCTGAACACTCTAAAGTTTGTACATATCACTCACAAATATAGTTTTCATTTAATTAAAGATATAACAAATAATATATACGAACCAATCTCATCTTAGACGATCGTGAGTTAGTGGTGTTGTTATAATAAAGCTCGAGATTTTGAGCCTTTTGTATCAGAACTTGTTATTTAACATTTTCAAATCCCCGTTTTTGTATCACGTTGTTAACTTTTTTGAGGGTCATCCGCATTCTTCAAGTAATTTTTATTGTGTATCTCTTTCTCGTTTCTTTATATTTTAGTTTGTTAACGCTTTATTAAAAAGAAACGATAAACTTGATTACACATAAAAAAAGATGTGTAGTAATATGAGAAAGTGCACTAGCCACCTGGGATTCCCTGTGGGCAGTTAGTCTCTTCCATTTGACATACTTATCACTAGGTTAATTGACATCACAGGAGACCGAAGATCTGGCAGCTACCTCGGACAAAGAATTAGTTTAGCGATTCAAAGGGGGAACGCTGCCAGTATCTTCGGAACCTTGCCTAAAGGGACTCCTTTTAATAATATATTTTAGTATCTGTTAAGTTTAGTTATTTATTTCAATGTATATTATTTTATTATTATATTATATGTTTTTCGTTTTAATCTCAAGTTAATTAACGGAAATAAATAGCTTACGTAGGCACTTAAAGTAATAAATTCTACATAGGAGTATAATTTTCCTATTGCACAAGAAGCAAAGTTTCGGTATAAAGTTTAGAATCGAGGGTGACATTTTGTTTTTGAAATGTTAATGATGGAAAACGTTGGCCGAAGAAAGTACGTTTTATATGTAGCTTTGCGTTTTGTATGATGTGGTGTGGCCAGTGTTTGTTTCCAAAAAAGTATAGCTGTTAAGTTTAGTCTTACAATTTTGAAGTTAAAAAAAAGCGAAAAGGTTTCATATAGGATATCTTAAGAATAGCGCGATGGCCACGCTGGTTTCAGCATTGAAGACGATGCTGCTCCAGACTCCACCCCATAGCGAGATGCAGCAAGATATTATTGACTGGCATAATGGAGTATACGCTATCTTGATCGTATGTAAATCGGAAAGTTGTTTTAAGGTGTTTAATTCAACAACTTTCAATTAACAACCTTAGAAATTACAATAAATTTTAATTAAGTAATTAAATGAAACAAATAAAGTTTGTGCGTTATCACTTGTCTAAAATGCAATTTTCGTATTAGAATTAAGGGTATGAACCTCTATGATCTATTCGATTCTTGTCAGTTAGTTAGTTAAGTCAAAAGAGTTGTCCAAAACCGATCAGGCACTATTCTACACCGGATGCCTTCTGCCCCACGTAGGGGAAAAAGGACTAATTAGAATTATTGAAAAGACATGATTTATAACAGAACTTCAAATATCGAATGGTGCTGCTCTTGATGCTGGCCTTCAATTTATATATATGTTTCCTAGATATTTTTTTTACATATATTCGATACACGACAATTTGTGTCTTCGATATTGCTCTCATCAATGAAACATTGTAGTCACCAGAGGCTCAAATCCTTGAGGATTGAGAAATACGCCATTTGCTAATTACAACAAACCATTAACATAATATAATATGACAGATCTTAGGGTGCGTCCACATATGGCGAATTTGCCGCGAATGTGCAGCTCGCGAGCCGTTTGTGAGATGCGCGCGTGCATTTTTGTTCTAATTACTGGAGGTTAAGTACGTGTTGTGTTTACGCTTAGTAAACAATTCTCCACTGTCCACTCCATGACAACATATAAATTATTTCCAGTTTTGTGGGATCCTAAAGAGCCTTGCATGAGTTGCGCTAAACAGGTGCACCAAACAATTGCCGTGACTACACGCGCACAGCTCGCGGGTAGCTCGCAAACGGCTCGCGAGCTGCATATTCGCCAGATGTGGACGCACCCTAACATATTAGATATATTTTGACCAGAGGGTGTACATGAAAACAATATAATTAAACTAACAAATATTTATTACAAGTACGCATAATTAACCGAGAGCTGAAATCAAAGCGACATTTGGAACTCCACCGGGACCTTCCTCCAACGTTGGGTTGTAACCATCGACACCAGAGGTGTATGTCACAGTATACCTCACGCCATTTGGTGCCACCCACGAATAAGAACCTGAGACCGCTATGGCTTCATCTTCACGCCCTTCGTTTGTGATCGCTCCTTGTTGCTCCTGTCTTGTGCCATCTGTTTGTTCATAACTGTTAAACAAAAACGTTAATTAGTGGCGGATTGCGACTTATATGCAATTAAAGTATTAATAACTAAATAAATACGCGCTACAACAAAAATATCTGTTTCATGATCATTTGTAATCACTTCTAATAGACAAGTAGGTGATCAGCCTCCTGTGTTTGACACACGCCGTCGGCTTTTTGGGTCTAAGTCAAGCCGGTTTCCTCACGTTTTTTTCCTCCACCGTTCGACCGAATATTAAATGGGTAGATAGAAAGAAAATGTATTGGTACACATCCGGGGATCAAACCTACGACTTTAGGGATGAGAGTCGCACACTGAAGTCACTAGGCTAACACTGCTCTAGGTAATTTAATACGTAAACGTCTAAAATATACAATTTTTATGTCATTAAAACCATCGAATATGTAAAGAATCTTCACGATTAGATCAGTAATAGTTTAATTTAAATTCTACATAATAAACTTATTATGTCATGAACCAACCAAAGCACCAAATTCTTGTTTTTATCAAATTTCATATTCAAGGATATTAAGAAAACGACTATGACATTAGATTATTATTTAAGACACATAAATTTAAATTATAGATTCTACAATAAAAAAGTCGTATATGACATCATTTTTATTTAAAGACGTTTCTTATACATTTACATAAAAACTTCTATATTTATTTGCATGATAAAATTACGAACAGGATATTATAATAAAAAGGATTGCCCCTTCTAGGCAACATCAGTTAGAATAAATACGAAACACAACACATAAAAACACAAATAGATAAAAGAGGAATGTAGTATCTTACCTCGAACATGCGCAACAAGCACAATGTCAAAAGAGCGATTAACGAGAGTGTGTTTCGAATCCAGTAACGAGTGAGGGATCCAAAACACGATTCACTCGAATTTTTTTTAGTATTACTCTCGAGGCAATTCCCTACTTTTTACTCTCATAGAGTAAGTAATTAAGCGTATCTCACGAAAATAAGTAGGTTAGAACTAGAATTACTCTTATTATTTTACATATACTTAGAAACAGAAATCTAGGAATAAGAACTAGAAAATTCCTTTTTATAATACAAAAGAATGTTACGCAAGTTTTTAGTTTTTCATAAACTTTTTATTTCGTCGCGTGGATTTGTTTTTCACATTTACAATCAATATTCGTGATCGATCTCTTTAGTGATTGAAACATTTACTAACAATATTACATTCAAAATTAAAAAAAAAACGTTTATCCCCAGAGGAAAAATTTACTTTCAGGTACGAACTTAAATCCTTTCCATACTCTTCTTTAAAACCGTGACTTTTAAAAAAGCTACCATAGACAAGGTAATGTAGAATATAAAGTCAATATAACAGTTCTTTAAAAGCAAGCCTCAATTTGATCTTATGATCGTAATTCGGAGATTCTAGACCAAATAACCTTAAAATTTTATAAATAACTCACGCGTATTTGTAGTTTCCGAGTCCAATGTTATCTACATCATAGCGTAAAATCTGTGCTTGGCCAGGGGTATAGTAGTCCTGTCCAGATGGGACGGCTGCTCCTGCTACTACAGCGATGACGACGGCCAGAACAATTATCTGTAAGAAAGTGTAACTGTAGTGTAAATCTATGGAAATATCTAACATTATTATACTTAAAAAGTAATATTATAATATTATTAGACACGTAACATTAACACAAACAAGTTTACAGATCTAGATTTTTAATTATATGTGAGAAAATAAAGAATTATTATTGATTTACAGTTTTTTTTTTATTAATAACACCAATTGCGAAAAGTTAATGTTACAATAGAATAATTTGTGAGTCCCGAATTATTTTCAAACTTAAATCTGTCGAAACACTATCTTCAGGGAGATACATGAGTGTTTGAACGGAACCCGAACAAATATTATTTTAAACTAATAAACTTATACGTGGTCACAAAACTTATTTAAAAATTTTAAATATTTACGAACTTGTCTCATCTTCGGTGATCACGCGTTGACTCTTTCGTAGAATATAAAACTATTTTATTGATTCACCTCCTTTTGTATCAAAACTTGATATTTATAACGTCCAAATCCCGTCACCTTAGTTTTTTACATAGCACATTGCTCACTGGTCAAGGCCAGCTTCTACGATGTCATAGTGCATAATATTTAGTCAACTGTATATGTTTTTAGACATGAATTGTGTTTCTTTAAAAAAGGGCATTCTACAATCTACCGAGACATTTTAACATTTACTGACTGTCTTGCTACTTCATACCATGAACCAAAGGCAAACAGGACAAAGTTTTGATGTGACACAATCCTTCCGGCGTAGAGTGACTAAAGCTGTATTTATCCTGTATGCATTCAAAAATGAATGTAATTTTCACTTTTAATTAGTGCAGGTGATTAGTTGGCTGCGTAGTAAAGTGATTAGAATCGTGTTCTATTTTTTTGCGAATGAACTGCGAGTAGTGACGTCGCATGCGCCCTCCCTTCCCCCTCACCTGCCAAAACACCTCTGGACAGGCAGCAGGACTCTTCGGTCAACTTGAGAGCAAAGTGATATTCCGTCGTATCTTCAGCAGCCAATTCCTTATAGAGTTGGTAGCTTGCGCCATGAATGGGTCTTCTATTAATTCATTTTCGAACCTACATTTTTCTTGGTTTTGCAAGTTCAGCTTCCAAAACTTCTTGGGTTTCAGAATGCACCGCGTTTACTTCTTTCAGTACTTCTTCCAATTGCAAGCGTGCTTCTCGATGTTCGTCCAAACTTGCTGATCGACAACTGAATTTACTTAACAGAGCCAACTAAACAATAATTGGACACTACTTGCACTACACACCTGCACTAATCATCCCCAAATACTAGTCACTTGCACTCGCACTAATCAAAGTGAAACAGGCCTTTAAAGACAGTTTGATTCTGCTGGTGTCTGGGTCCGGGAAAATTCTAAATATGACTTTTTGAGCTTTGTCTGTCTGTACCGCACCTAATAATTATAATTTATTATAGTGCAAAATCTGTTTAAATATGTCAAGGTCTGTTGGCAGACATTTATATTTAAAAAATTATGTGTTTTCTACCTTACATATAATTTGATAACAATTATACTTTTTTACTTATTTTATCTGATTTTATGCTTTTAAAATAAATTAACACTGACAATTTCAGTATCTTTTGATCACTCACGAAATGTTAAAAGAAACCAATCCCTTGTTTTTTATGTGTTTATTAGAAACAAACTGTTTATTGCCTTATCTTTAATTTGTAAGTTCAGTCTCGGGAACTACTTGATTAATTTTAGTATTGGATTTTCCTTTTAAGGAAGGGGAATATACTTCAAGTATTATATTATGTAAGACTAATCGACTGTGTAGGCCGTAGAACAAGGTCAAAATTTAACATATTATGTCCAAGGTTCCACAAATCTTCATTAAATATTGGACTTGTTTTCGAATTTACATTATAACCAATTAAAGTGTTACTACAAAACGTCTCTATATGGAACACAGTGTATGTTGCATCTTTAAGTCTGAAGGCCTAACTGGTATTTACTCTTTACTCTTGACACCTTAAGTGCCGGTTCGAATGCGTTGCCGACCCTTTATAGAAAAATTTCGTAATATTTTGTGTTGATACATTTTTGTTATAGAGCAAATATTCTTAAATGTTAAGTAATAAATAAGTAAAGTTAATATTACTTTCCATGTGTAAGTTTGTTTAAATGATTCGTTGCGTCAAACGAGATACGGGATCTTGATTAAATGTGAGACATGCAGTACGATATTTATTAACAATAAACAATTTTATAGTAGAAGAAATTTGTTTACGTTTTATATCTTAGATAGTATGTATATCATGTGAACAACATGATACCAAGCAGAGCCAATAGGGAGCTATTTGATTAAAAAACACATGTTCAAATTATATATATTTATTCATTATTTTCATTACTACGAACTGACAATGATGGATATCCAGAGGAAACATTTACTACCCTTTTAGTTACAGTCGGTGGGGCTGGGGTGTTCCATCGTATTACTGGTCCTCGAATGTGGACGGGGGGCAGCTTCCTGACAAATTTCACCTTGTTCTGTTTGGGATACTCGGAGTATTCTGATGACAGTGAAACACGGTCAATTGATGGCGGAAGAGGGATATTTGTTTTGACAGCAGGTTTAAACCCGACGACATTTCTGACAGGTACTACAACCTTCTGTTCTGAAACCTTAACGGTTTGTTTCTGTCTTTGTTCTTTAATTTTCTGTATAATCCATCTTTCCAAATCTTGAATATTTGATTGTGTTAAATAACCTGATGGTAGACCTATCGAACGACCAAGTGAAGGTGGTACAGGAACATTGTACTTAACTGTTTGACTCGCTTCTACAACATCAGGCTGAGGTTGGTTTTCAACAACTTTCACTCTGTTGGCTTGCGCAGGATAGTTATCAGATTCTTTTACAATTTTTCCTGGTTGCTTCTGCACTTGATGAATATTTCCTTTCACTTTTTGCAGTAAAATTATTTCATCGTTTCGGATCGCTGGTAGTGTTGGATATCCTGAAGGTAACACGATGGCGTCATCGATAGATGGTGGAGGCGGAATATGTAACGGAACCACAGGCTTCAAAGGTTCCTGGTTGGGTACGGACTCGTCAGGGTTAACTTCTTCTGTGTTAGTTTTGGAATAGTTCTCTTCATTATTATGGTGTAAAACGTACACTGGTTGTTCTTGCGTCTTGCCATTATTTTCTTCCACAACTTGGTTTTTATCATAAAGAGTTGATGAATCAATTGCCGGTGGAGCCGGAATGTTTACCGTCACGACAGGCTTCACGTCTTCCATGTTGACATCTGGAGTTTCCTTCACAACCTCAACCTTATAATGTTCAGGATGATATCCGAAGTTTGACGATTCTATTACTTGACCAGGTTGCTTTTGTTTGATAACTCTAACATTTTTTATTCTACGTAGGATATTTCTTTCTTCATTTTGGAGAGCTTCTATTGATGAATATCCTGAAGGTAACGTGATACTATTGTCAATAGACGGTGGAGGTGGAATATTTAATATCACTACAGGTTTATTATCTTTTGTGTTTGTGAGATCTTCACTGTTTACTTCAGAGTGCTTCTCATCTAAAACTGTGTCAGCAACCCATTGATTTGTATCGTGACCCACTGATGAATCCATAGATGGCGAGGAAGTAACATCCATACTTATGACAGGTTTTACATCCTTTACACTAGCTTCATTATTGACATTATCAGCATTAAACACGGGATTTATATTACCTTTAACCAATTTGTATATCTCAGGATGGCTTTGGCTTTCGGATATGTCGGCTTGTACGGGTGCTTCAGGTGCTTCTTGTTTGTTTAGTCTACCGAGTTTTACCTTTTGTTGAATTAATCCTTCTTCATTTTGGACATCTGACAAAGACGAGTATCCAGAAGATAATTTGATAGTATTGTCAAGAGACGGCGGTGCGGGAATATTCAACTTTACGATAGGTTTTATTTCTTTTTTGAGTGTGATTGTTTCTTTTTTAACGCCTTCGGTTTTAGGGTAATATCCCAAGTCACTATCATTTTTAACTACTTTAGATGTGTCTGCTGGTTTTTCCACTTTGCTCCCCTGTGCTGAGATATGGATAGCTGATACGTCGATAGATGGTTTTTTATCAACAACTTCTATATCGTACAGCTCAGGATGATAATCGTAACTTGACTTGTCTACGGTTTTTTCGGTTTGATCCTGAATGTGCAATTTCAGATGTTTTATTTTCTCCATAAGCATTCTTTCCTCGTTTTGAAGAGCTGACAATGTCGAATAACCTGAAGGTAATGTAATAGTACCGTCAATAGAGGGAGGTGCAGGAATATTCAACTTTATGATGGGTCTTGTGTCTTCTTCACTCGGGTCAGACTCTTTCACAGGGTTGTCTATGATTTTAGTTTTATACTGATCTACTATGCTGAGGTCATTTGTAACTGGTTCTTTTGCATTATTGTCTTGGAAGCTCCATAGTTCATTTAAGTTTGAAGACTTAATAGATGATGGTGGTTGTACTGAAATACCTATACTGACATCTGAATTAACCTGTCCTTCATTGAGCTCAGGTTTATTTTTGACTAATTTGTAACTTTCAGGTTGGTATTTATAACTTGATTCATCTGAAACTAAAGAATTTTGGTTCTGAACCGTAGTTGTGGACACGTCAATAGATGGTGGAGCGGGAATAACTAACGTATCAACAGGTTTTACTTCTTCATTGCTTGTGAAAGCAGGTTGTTCTTGTTTCTGACCTTCCTCCTTGTTCTTATATTCTTTAACACTATTAATTTTTACTTCAGGTTCTACCGCGTTTACTTTAGCTGTAACCTCGTTGGCGTGGTATCTATCGCATGGTCGATCAAAGACATTTATTCCATCGATTTTACTTGCTCCATCTAATTTATTACCCTCCGTATAGTCACTGATTGAGAATTGGTTTACCCCACTTTGTTGTTGCTGTTTTAAAGCATTTAAATGGCCAAATTTCTTGTTGCCTATTCCTTTCAATACAAATATTCTTGATCCTTCCGAGTTATCAGTCACTTCTGGGTTCCATGGATAATTGCCCAATTGTAAGAAATCAGCAGGCTCTAGAATTATATACGAAATTTTCGATACATCTTCCGACGGTTGGCTCCTATCATATTTTGTGACAATTGGTGACGCAGCCGCGCTTGATAACAACCAAAGAAAACCGAGAAAATACATCTGAAATAAATCAAAATATAATTTAATACCTTGATTTTAGAATAATATATATTTAGTGTTTTCTTATATAAATAACAAAATTCTCTTCAATTATTGTCAAAAATATATTATAAAACAAAAGAAAAAATATGTAGAAATTAAATATTATTGCAAAAATTACAAAAAATAGAACTTACCATTCTATAACATCACCTGACGTGTTTGAAAGCACTTGCAATACTGATCTATTTATTTTCATACGCGATTTTATAAGTGATTTTTAAGGTAAGTATTTACTGGTAATTGTTATCATTAGCAGGAATGAAAGTACTTTTAATAAGCTAATGGCATTCCAATAAGTTTTCTTAGAACCAAAATCTGCAATCACAACTCATTAATTAATGTAGAACTAACAATGATTTAACGACTAATGAGAAAAAAATTGCGCAAGCATGAACGTTCCTAATATAGAGTCGGTTAACAATGTTTTTGATATATTTAACTTTTAAAAACTCCGTCTAAATGGAAAGTTTACAATTTACATACAACTTTTGTCGTTCTGTATCAAATTCAGCTGAATATGGCATTAAAGTTATACAATACCTAGGCGCGCAGCTCACAACCCTGAGATCATGTTGTCAAACCCCGGTTGAACACCAATTTAGTATTCTATTTATGTAAGTAAAAAAGACTTGCCTGTAAAATATAATGATCAAGGAAGAAGATTCATAGCTTTGAGGCCATTATTAACTAAAATCCATGTTTATGTAAAAAATTATACCAATAAAATAACATATGTTTATTGTGGAATATAAGATACAGGTATCACTTATTCCAAGTCATTAAATTTGTATCGGTAGATATCCCTTCATCGGCAAAGAAGACACAGGATGTAGGATAAATGACTATGGCATAGATAGAAAAAACAGAAGGAGGGAGATACGGTCCGCTCTTTATCTATATTAAATTACAAAACTGAACGGAAACCTCGCAGTTCAGTTTCCGGAAGCGGCACCTGTTCACAAGCATGACGTGTGAGCCAGCCATCGTTTTACTCAACCATATTTGAGGGTAAGCATAACTTCTCCGGTTTCCCAGCTAGTAAAACTAAACCTAGCGCGCATGTCACGCATCTCCCTTCCTCCAGGCTCAAGAAGCTGGCACGAGAAAACAGCACCACAAGATAGCAAGTGGTGCCGAAATATCATGCCACTGCTATTCGCCACAACACTTATTTTAAAACAAATATAGCAAATAAATTAGAAGTAGCCTGTCTAGCAAGTCCCAGGCCCTTTTATCAACTAGACAATCGTTAACTTTATAGTAAGCCTTTTTTACACCTCTTTTCTTTATTAAATTTCCTAAATTTATCAAAAGGAAGAATATACTCCGGGATTTTATTAAATAAAAGTAATCTCTTTTCTAAAAAAATAATTACTAACTTAACGATAGTCTAGTACGGATAAAATGCAGCCTGCGTTTCTTCCGAGTATTAACATTATGCGTATGTTCTATTCTAGTAAACTTACGAGAATCACTATTTTTGTAAACATACATAATATTTTCATAAATATATTACAAGGGAAAGGTATATTAATTTCCTTGAATTCATCTCTACCCTACATTTTAAATTATGGATGACATGAATAGCCCTCTTCTGCAGGTTGAAATTAATTTCAATTATGTCTAAAGACATACCCCTTAAAAACTAAATTAATTGAAGAACACAATTCTGTTTCATTTCATTATATCATACTAGTACTGAAAAATAGTAGTAGTAGTTCACTGAAAAATTCCCTGCTTTTTAGAAGGTTTAATCCTAATTCATAAGCACGCTGGAGTTTCAGCCTTTCGTTGTTGAGATCCCCAGGTGCCATACTACACGATTTGGTTCATGTAAAAAAATATAATGGATAAAAACTCCTTGCCCCCTTCCCTCTTCCCCAGACAGTATAATATTGGTTCATTTAAGCGCTGGTCAAATAGGAATTTCCTGGACAGGCGTGCCCTCCAATAGGTCACATCTCTCATCAACATCCGGTAGGATTGTGAGTAAACATCTGTCCAGTTCTGTATATTTAAAAATTCAAATATAAGTGATACTTCTAAGCTGTAACACTGCATTTCTTAGTGTCAAACGTGAGCAACATGTAAAGTAACAAAGTGACGTTAAACGCTATGTGGACGTAGGACCTGGTGCGGGTGCTGCAGGGCGGTAGATGTGGAACGGAAGAACTAGTCGTGAAGATTTAGGGAAAAGGCCTATCTCCAGCATTGGACGTCAACAGGCTAAGCTGACGACTATAACTTATATACAAAATTATTTCACCGAGTTATGTAACTTATGTTTTATATTTTAGTGAACAATTAGAAGCGTAAACCAAATGTTAGGAATCATGGCACACTTCAAGCCAAAAAGCCACTCATAAATTGTTTCCGATAATATACAAAAAGGTCGACACTTGTATTGAATAGTCACTTAGATTTAAGAACCATTAATAAGCCACGTCAGTTTTTTGTTTGTGCCCAACCCAACTACCCCTAATTTTATATTAGTTATAAGCTTATGTTACCTAAAGCCAATTGACAAACAGCTTCAAATAAAGAGTTTAATTTAATATACATATCAAAATTTCTACAACCGCCACCGAACTTAACTACCGTTTGTTTCAACTTTAAACCTCAGAGAGTAGAGAGTAGTTGCATTGTTACTTCATCATCCTAAAGCCATTTGCCAAGCGTGCAAGCAAAATGTTTGCTTTCAAAAAAAATACAATTAGTTAAGCAACACTAAAGGCTTTTTAAGTATTATTATTTTTATATTTGGGGCAAACAGATACCAAGGAATGAACGGTATTTAAAAAGATGTATTTATTTGTAGTATCTCCAGAAATCTGCTGTACCTGCCAGCAATATTGTGACTGATTAAACAATTTCTCAATCCCATATTTGTGACTAGCTTGGTAAGATAAGTGAATCCTATAAGGAGTTTCTATTTTTAGATTTTCGCATTGTCCGAGGTCCTGTCATTAAAAAAAATTGCTGTAAAAGCTTCTTCTGTCACACACGCCGTCGACTTTTAGGGTCTAAGACATTTCGGTTTCCTCACGATGTTTTCCTTCACAGTTCGAGCGAATGTTAAATGCGCACATAGAAAGAAAGTCGGTTGGTACACAGCCGGTGCATTAGATAAGTTACATATATCTGAGCCGTAGGTCAGAATATGATAAATGCAATTTCATTACTTTACTTGACAAGCAATAATTCAATTATTAAGAAAACTTGAAGGCACTATTAAAATATGAAACACTCTATCTATGACCACAGATATAAATTTTAGTTAATAATTAGGAGCTCGTAAACAAAATCTAAGCAATCTTCGCACACTTGAAGCCAATATGAGCCCTTTAGTTTTTACCACACTCATACTAGTAAATAGTAATTTAACATTCTCGTTTCCGATATTGTCCAATAACATAAGTGTCACTTAGATTTAAGTACTCTTCAATAAGTCAAGTTAGTTATTTGTTAATCTAGCGTTGCAACCATTGTTATGAGGTCATTTTTTAAACAATTAAAGCCAGGTGACACCCAACTTCAAACATAGTGATTCATTTAACATATATTTGAACATATTGTTACGAAAACGGGTCGACTACAATGTTTCTAGATTTTTTCACTACTTAGAGAACTTTTCAGCAGGCTGAAATGTGATTTCTGACCGTTTCAGGGAAGGGTCAATCACATATTAGAAAATAGTAATTTACAGAATGTTACCCTAGTTTTCAGGAGGCTGAAAAAGTTTTTCAGGTCGTTTCAGAACAAGTGTAGTCGAGTGGTACACTTTCAGGAAACCCGTTTTCAGGCCTGGTTATACCCCTTTGATGAAGGAATGTTCTAGAACGAATTTTCTAGAGGTGGGACAAGGACGGAATGATACGCGAGAGAGAGGGAAGATCGGAACCATCTCGAAGCTAGACCGAGCACTCTAGAACACCGTACGACAAGGACGGAGCAATGTGCGAGAGAGATAGCGAGTACGCACGTTCTAGAATTGTGCGATCGTTACTCAATAGCGCTCCCGCCTAGAGAGTTCTCGAACTTGCAAGACTATTCCCAGGGATATATAAGCGAGCCGAAACGCGATGAGTTAGTTCAGTTTTGAATGCGATATCAAGAGATAAACACCGGAGTGAAAAAGTGCGAATACAGTGAAGACAAGTGAATACAAGTACTATGTAAAGTGCATGTAATTAGAGTTATTAGTGACAGTATTTTGTGTGTGTATTTAGTGAATTATTGTGCGTAACTTCCAGTTTTTAGTGTTAACAAATTCCTCGTAGATTTATTTAGAAATAAACCCTTGAAGAAATCCACGGCGTTTCTATCCGATCCCCTAGCTCGTAACAATATCTACAACAACCGCCACCGAACTTAACTCGTGCGATTTTTTATGTATGTATGTATGTAAAGATAAGACTAGACTATGGTATTATTTTGAAATAACATTAGTTTGTCGATTTAAATTGTGTAAACCAACTAGTGACGCCAATAATTTTGTCTGTTCCGCGGTTTTTTTGTACGTTAGTTTTGGAGTTATAATATTTTTTGAATGTTTCCTGCCAGCGAGGTTTCAAAAATTCATATCTTTTTTGTTGTAGGTATTTTGCAGTTTTTTTTCTTTGAAATGATTGTCTTAAATGTTGTTCAAATAAAAAAAATCTCAACTTCCTAAAATTAGTTAAAGCTACTCAAAAACGGTTTTAAAGTTAGAAGTTTAGTTTTTAGCTGGATTTATCCAAACATTCGACTTCAATTTAAAAATACAAAAAGAAGTTTTCATAGCTTCTGGCTAAGTTTAGAAACTCCGCAGGGTTCTAAGCTACCAAAATCATAGAAAAAGAAATGGTACTTAATTGGTCTTTTTTTGTTGTAATCGGCCTTTTAAGGTGGATAGGCTAAAAAATCATTGAAGCATTAAAAATGTTTTTTTTTCGACTTATATTATTAATATGGTAAATTAAACTTTATAATGTGATTTTAATTAATTTTAATATCCGTAAAATAAATGTAGCTGTAATCGGCCTTTTTATGTGGATAGGCAAAAAATCATTAAAGCATTAAAACTCGTTATACATTTTACAATAAAAGCACTTTATTTTGGGAAAAATAATTTATTTTAAGTTACTTACACGCTACGCTATAAACTAAATTAAATATTAAATAAATATTTTGAAAGCTGTACATCAAACAATATCTCTACTGGTGTCTCAAATATATAATTCTGGGAGCCTTAAAGATAGATGGCACTTCACGAGGCCAATGTATCATCATAGAACGAATAGATGACAATGAAATCGGTAGAGGGGGTACAGATATTCTCGTAGTAAATGTTGGTGCTTCGGGAACCACATATTTTGGTTTTCTTACTTCAACAATGGGTTTTCCAGAATCTTCTGTTTCAGAGTTTCGTGTTTCACTAGTTTGTGGCGTGTTAATTTTATAGTGTTTCAAGGTCTCTAAATCAGGTTGGATCTCGATGATTTCCGCGTAAGACGGTCCATTGTGCGTGTGATCGATTACTCTAGTGAGCACATCTTGCGAATATTGAGGTTCAAAGTTTTTGTATTCTGGCAGGTCATTCTCAGAATTTTGCTTTTCGCTGGTTGGGTCAGGGTTTTGTTCATCGTATTTCTGAACTTCAGGTTTTGCTGTTTTAAGTAGTATTTCGATTTTTTCTTTCGGGTTCTGAGGACGCTTTTCATGCTCTGGCTCGGGATTTTGTTCGTTATATTTTTGTTCTTCAGGCACTGCTTCTTTAACTGCTTCAAGTATCCTTGCATATTTTTCTTTTTGTGGGTCTGAATAATTTTCTTGGTTATTGTTGTTATCCTCGTAGCTTGGTTTGTTAGTTTCTGAATTACTGGTGGTAGTTTCTTCTACATATCCTGTAGAATTGTTTTCAGTCTCGGAGAATGGGATAATCTCAATTATTTTGTATTTCCCCTCCCCGGACAAGTCCTTGGAATCAGTTTTTGCAATAATAAATTCATGAGGGTGATGAGACTCGGGCTTTATAGGTGATGCAGATAAAACTGCTACGAAACACAAAATCGCAAAAGCAATGGGAGACATCATATCTGAAAAAAATTATTATATATTAGTGTGATATTACATAATTAGTAAGATAAATATACAAATTTTAAATCATTTTTAATATTTATTAACATAATATGAGTAATAAATCAATCAGAAAAATTTCGAATTCTGTAAGAGCAATTAATTCAAAATATTTTCTTACCTACTTCCTCAACTATTCACGACAACTGATGGTCTTTTGCAAGTGGCTACATTTTATATACAATTTGGGGTAATCTTTAATGTCTTCGACGTCCTAATGATATATTTTAGCTAATGTGCCTCCTTGCTTAATGAAATGGATTACTTAAGTATATCAATTAACGTATTCCAAATGCCTATATTCGTATGAATCAACGTCGAATCTATTTGGACTTGCAATTTCGGTTACCAACAATTATTAATATTTTTTATTAAAATACTGCTATTGTGTCCAGGGACTTTTTCTATCTCTCAAATTTTTCCAAAAAAATAAGATACTCGTACATTATATTAATTCCAATACACTACTTCACGATGTGTTGCGCGGCTCTCGAAATACGCCCCGGCCTCATCGTTAATATTTTTATTTACAATATTCATGGGCGAGCCGGGGCGCAATTCCTCGCGAGACCCGATCTTTCAGTTTTGTTTGCCGCCTTTATATATTAAACAATTTTTTTGTAGAACCGTTCGCATGGTATGTGATTCATTAACATGTCCTGTAGGCCATTACGGTTTTGTTGCTCCAGGTCGTGCCTGGACGATGCGAATATAGGGCAATGTAGAAGCACATGTTCTACTACTTTGTTCTTCATTACTGCAGGCACATGTTGGGCTTGTCCAACAATTATTATTAAAGCTATATACTTTGTGTGTAAAATGTTTCAACACACGGCCAGTAACCGTTGGAAAATATGTTTCCATTTTCGGGATTTTCTAAAAGCTAAACCGTTTTTGGGTAAGTACTTGGAGGCCTACCACTAGCTTATTGCAAGGCTTTTTAGAACCTACAACTGAACTGCATCGTTATTGACACCATGACATCGAATAAACCAGCCAGATTTCGTTCATATACAATTTGTATAGAAAATTCATACCATGACTTCGTGACAGAACCTGAATTGGACCGTTTAGCCGTCAATTTGAATTAGCGATTCGGAAAAACTTACTTTTAGTAGAACTATCCTCAGATCGAAATATTAATTGAAACTTTTTAATTTTAAGATTAATAAGATATACAAGTCTTTATTTTAAAACTCTCTACTGTCGGGTACTTATGTAACTGTTTTATTTTGTCTTCATTTTGAGCTTAAGTGTGAAATTATTAAAAATCTTTGCTATATATAAATAACTAGCTGGCCTGGCGAACATCGTACCGCCTAACAGTCGATTCTTTATTTGTTTAAAATACTTATTCTGCTATTCGGGACACCGGTCTAGCTAGTAAGATAAAAAAAAGAAAATTGATCAGACAACAAATACATTATGTCAAAAAATAAAAAATTACCTTCCCGGAACCCCTCCACTAACACTTGAACTTTATGCTATGGTATTAAAGTTCAAATTGACTTTTAAGTATTATTACGAATATTTTGTATGGGAATATAGAAAAGTGTTGTTTTTAGACTTTTTCACTCAATTTTTTTAATTTTTCTCCGTAAGAACCATCCTCGTACTTTAAGGTATATTATATAAAAAAATCAGACAAATCGGTCAAGCCGTTTTCACATTATGTCGTGACAACGGAAAACGGGTTTCATTTTTATATGTATAGATTTGCTATATATCAAAGTATCAAAGGTCCATTGAATTTTAGTGTACTTATACACTATTTCACAAACTATGTTTAATAATATTCAATTAATTATATCTAGATACTACTAATAACACTATAATATATATATTCAAATATCAAACGTTGATTACGTGTATTTTGACAAAATCTCTTGCAATCGGCTCATTGGAATACAGGTGTTTAACTATAGGCTAATCCCATGGTACAACCATTTTATTTAAAAAATTTAATGTTTTCAAGTACTGTGATTAATTTTCTTTAAAATAAAATAAATACATAATAAGTGTATAGTCTATACGTTATATTAATAATATCTTAAAAACTTAAGTTTTGCATAGGTATTGGCATTAAAGAATCACTTCGATATAATACGTTCCATATGTAGCTTTTAATTTTTCAAAGAATTGAATACCTAAAGTTTAAAAATCACTAAGCTAGGTATATTGATAGCTCTTATCACAATTTGACAGAAATTTAAAAACGATAAAAATTTAAGTGTCAACTAACATATATCACAAAAAAACTTGACGATTAAAATATATATATATTTTGAGTATATTTTTTTAGTTATTTTATTAAAAGTACTTTATTAATGTGTGTAATGTATTTTATTAATGTGTGAGTAATGTATGTTGTATTAAACATATAATAGCTTTTTGCAATTTACGTTTCTTTTAATTATAGGAGGTTTTCAAGTTATAACGACATTCCTAAGCGGTTTTTAAATTGAATTCCTATAACGCAACAGCCCTTCTCTATAACGAAGAAATATTTTCATATTTAGATATCAACAACATACTTAAGTGTAATTGTTTGTATAATCAGCTTACAAAACTAAACTTTTGAGGTGCCGAAATTACTAAAAAAGACACCTGAGGTCATAAACAGCCTTCTTGCCTTTGTTATTGTTAATTGCATTAACACGTGTGCCATTATTCTTAGATTACATTGCCTGTAGGAAATTTTGGTCTCAATTACTAAACGCACCATCGTCACCTATCTTGTATTATCAGTCGTAAACAAACTTTGAAACTGTCAAGATGGCCAGTAAAAGAAAATCGTTATGTGTTTAGAATAATTTACCTATTGATAGAAGTACAATTAGAAATTATTGTAATTGGTTAAATTTGTTTTTTTTTCTATACCCTCCCTATAACGACACCCCCTCTATAACGAAAGAAAATCTCGGTCCGTTGAAATTCGTTATAAAGAGTATACACTGTATATAAAAATGCTCTGCATATATTAAATACGGGTTGAAGTTGACCTTATTTTGAAGGGAGATATATTAAGGATAATAAATTCAAATACTTAATAATTTTAATAATTTATTTATCTAAATCACTGAGCACTAGCATCCACCGATTCTGGTTTGTTGGACATGGGCTGGTGATTGGTTTCAACATGGTATCCGTCGAGTCCAGCGGTGAACTTGGTGATGTAGAGTTCGCCATCGTCACCGATGTAGGAGATTTCACCTTCAGTGACAAGCACGTATTCCCCTTTGGCAGTGGGGACTAACTTTCCTCGCTGTGAGACCACGGTACCCTCAGCTGTGACGTAGCGCAGTGCGTACTGGCCGAATTCGTCGTGGATCTCTTCATGTTCGAGCGCAGGTAATGCGCGTCTTGCTGCGATTTCGGGGTCTACGCTGGGCGCGCAAGTTGCCGCCGCGACCAAAGCACAGAATACTACGAACTGGAAATAGAATTTTGAATTAATACAGGATACTTATATGTTGTAAGGGAAAATATTTAAAAGAAATTGATATTCAAATAACTTTCTTAAGGTTTAGATGTTTCGTATAAGTTTCCAACTCCAAAACACCATTATAAAAAAAACTTGCAAAGAAAGTTTTTGCAATTCAGACTTCTGTTTGAAATTTGAAATTCAAAGTCGAAGAAGGTTAATTGTTTTCAAAAATTAAAATTTAGAACAATGAAAAAAATCGTCAGAAAACTTACCATTTTCATCTTGATGAGGTTTTACTTGAAACTTGTAGTTTACAATTGAAGCTCTTAGCACTGCTGGTTCCTTTCTGATGTCAATGTCAAGAAACTATCACTTTATATACTAAACTAATTTACAAATAACTCGTACACCTAATTACTGTAATATAGCTAATGGATAATGTAATGAGTGCAAGTAATGCATACATAATATTTTCATAAATATATTACAACGGAAAGGTATATTAATTTCCTTGAATTTATCTCTACCCTACATTTTCTTCTGCAGGTCGAAATTAATTTCAATTATGTCTAAAAACATACCCCTTAAAAACTTAATTAATTGAATAACACAATTCTGTTTCATTTCATTATATCATACGTTCATTGAAAAATTCTCTGATGTTTAGAAGGTTTAAATTAGGATAATTTATAAGCACGCTGGAGTTTCAGCCTTTCGTTGTTGAGATCCCCAGGTGCCACACTACACGATTTGGTTCATGTAAAAAAAGATAATGGATAAAAACTCCTTCCCCTTCCCTCTTCCCCAGACAGTATAATATTGGTTCATTTAAGCGCTGGTCAAATAGGAATTTCCTGGACAGGCGTGCCCTCCAATAGGTCACATCTTTCATCAACATCCGGTAGGATTGGGGGTAAACATCTGTCCAGTTCTGTATATTAAAAAAATCAAATATAAGTGATACTTCTAAGTTGTAACACTGCATTTCTTAGTGTCAAACGTGAGCAACGTGTAAAGTAACTATAGTGACTTTAAACACTATGTGGACGTTGGACCTGGTGCGGGTGCTGCAGGGCGCTAGATGTAGAACGGAAGAACTAGTCGTGAAGATTAAGGGAAAAGGCCTATCTCCAGCATTGGACGTCAACAGGCTAAGCTGACGACTATAACTTATATACAAAATTATTTTACCGAGTTATGTAACTTAACTAATGTTTATGTTATATATTTAAGTGAACAATTAGAAGCGTAAACCAAATGTTAGGAATCATGGCACACTTCAAGCCAAAAAGCCACTCATAAATTGTTTCCGATAATATACAAAAAGGTCGACAATTGTATCTAATAGTCATTTAGATTTAAGAACCATTAATAAGCCACGTCAGTTTTTTGTTTGTGTCCCAACCCAACTACCCCTAATTTTATATTAGTTATAAGCTTATGTTACCTAAAGCCAATTGACAAACAGCTTCAAATAAAGAGTTTAATTTAATATACATATCAAAATTTCTACAACCGCCACCGAACTTAACTACCGTTTGTTTAACTTTAAACCTCAGGGACTATTTAGTTGCATTGTTACTTCATCATCCTAAAGCCATTTGCCAAGCGTGCAAGCAAAATGTTTGCTTTAAAAAAAAATACAATTAGTTAAGCAACACTAAGGGCTTTTAAGGTATTATTATTTTTATATTTGGGGCAAACAGATACCAAGGAATGAACGGTATTTAAAAAGATGTATTTATTTGTAGTATCTCCAGAAATCTGCTGTACCTGCCAGCAATATTGTGACTGATTAAACAATTTCTCAATCCCAAGGCATATTTGTGACTAGCTTGGTAAGATAAGTGAATCCTGTAAGGAGTTTCTATTTTTAGATTTTCGCATTGTCCGAGGTCCTGTCATTAAAAAAAATTGCTGTAAAAGCTTCTTCTGTCACACACGCCGTCGACTTTTAGGGTCTAAGACATTTCGGTTTCCTCACGATGTTTTCCTTCACAGTTCGAGCGAATGTTAAATGCGCACATAGAAAGAAAGTCGGTTGGTACACAGCCGGTGCATTAGATAAGTTACATATATCTGAGCCGTAGGTCAGAATATGATAAATGCAATTTCATTACTTTACTTGACAAGCAATAATTCAATTATTAAGAAAACTTGAAGGCACTATTAAAATATGAAACACTCTATCTATGACCACAGATATAAATTTTAGTTAATAATTAGGAGCTCGTAAACAAAATCTAAGCAATCTTCGCACACTTGAAGCCAATATGAGCCCTTTAGTTTTTACCACACTCATACTAGTAAATAGTAATTTAACATTCTCGTTTCCGATATTGTCCAATAACATAAGTGTCACTTAGATTTTAAGTACTCTTCAATAAGTCAAGTTAGTTATTTGTTAATCTAGCGTTGCAACCATTGTTATGAGGTCATTTTTTAAACAATTAAAGCCAGGTGACACCCAACTTCAAACATAGTGATTCATTTAACATATATTTGAACATATTGTTACGAAGACGGGTCGACTACAATGTTTCTAGATTTTTCCACTACTTAGAGAACTTTTCAGCAGGCTGAAATGTGATTTCTGACCGTTTCAGGGAAGGGTCAATCACATATTAGAAAATAGTAATTTACAGAATGTTACCCTAGTTTTCAGGAGGCTGAAAAAGTTTTTCAGGTCGTTTCAGAACAAGTGTAGTCGAGTGGTACACTTTCAGGAAACCCGTTTTCAGGCCTGGTTATACCCCTTTGATGAAGGAATGTTCTAGAACGAATTTTCTAGAGGTGGGACAAGGACGGAATGATACGCGAGAGAGAGGGAAGATCGGAACCATCTCGAAGCTAGACCGAGCACTCTAGAACACCGTACGACAAGGACGGAGCAATGTGCGAGAGAGATAGCGAGTACGCACGTTCTAGAATTGTGCGATCGTTACTCAATAGCGCTCCCGCCTAGAGAGTTCTCGAACTTGCAAGACTATTCCCAGGGATATATAAGCGAGCCGAAACGCGATGAGTTAGTTCAGTTTTGAATGCGATATCAAGAGATAAACACCGGAGTGAAAAAGTGCGAATACAGTGAAGACAAGTGAATACAAGTACTATGTAAAGTGCATGTAATTAGAGTTATTAGTGACAGTATTTTGTGTGTGTATTTAGTGAATTATTGTGCGTAACTTCCAGTTTTTAGTGTTAACAAATTCCTCGTAGATTTATTTAGAAATAAACCCTTGAAGAAATCCACGGCGTTTCTATCCGATCCCCTAGCTCGTAACAATATCTACAACAACCGCCACCGAACTTAACTCGTGCGATTTTTTATGTATGTATGTATGTAAAGATAAGACTAGACTATGGTATTATTTTGAAATAACATTAGTTTGTCGATTTAAATTGTGTAAACCAACTAGTGACGTTAATAATTTTGTATGTTCCGCGGTTTTTTTGTAGTTTTGGAGTTATAATATTTTTTGAATGTTTTCTGCCAGCGAGGTTTCAAAAATTCATATCTTTTTTTGTTGTAGGTATTTTGCAGTTTTTTTTTCTTTGAAATGATTGTCTTAAATGTTGTTCAAATAAAAAAAATCTCAACTTCCTAAAATTAGTTAAAGCTACTCAAAAACGGTTTTAAAGTTAGAAGTTTAGTTTTTAGCTGGATTTATCCAAACATTCGACTTCAATTTAAAAATACAAAAAGAAGTTTTCATAGCTTCTGGCTAAGTTTAGAAACTCCGCAGGGTTCTAAGCTACCAAAATCATAGAAAAAGAAATGGTACTTAATTGGTCTTTTTTTGTTGTAATCGGCCTTTTAAGGTGGATAGGCTAAAAAATCATTGAAGCATTAAAAATGTTTTTTTTTCGACTTATATTATTAATATGGTAAATTAAACTTTATAATGTGATTTTAATTAATTTTAATATCCGTAAAATAAATGTAGCTGTAATCGGCCTTTTTATGTGGATAGGCAAAAAATCATTGAAGCATTAAAAATGTTTTTTTTTCGACTTATATTATTAATATGGTAAATTAAACTTTATAATGTGATTTTAATTAATTTTAATATCCGTAAAATAAATGTAGCTGTAATCGGCCTTTTTATGTGGATAGGCAAAAAATCATTAAAGCATTAAAACTCGTTATACATTTTACAATAAAAGCACTTTATTTTGGGAAAAATAATTTATTTTAAGTTACTTACACGCTACGCTATAAACTAAATTAAATATTAAATAAATATTTTGAAAGCTGTACATCATACAATATCTCTACTGGTGTCTCAAATATATAATTCTGGGAGCCTTAAAGATAGATGGCACTTCACGAGGCCAATGTATCATCATAGAACGAATAGATGACAATGAAATCGGTAGAGGGGGTACAGATATTCTCGTAGTAAATGTTGGTGCTTCGGGAACCACATATTTTGGTTTTCTTACTTCAACAATGGGTTTTCCAGAATCTTCTGTTTCAGAGTTTCGTGTTTCACTAGTTTGTGGCGTGTTAATTTTATAGTGTTTCAAGGTCTCTAAATCAGGTTGGATCTCGATGATTTCCGCGTAAGACGGTCCATTGTGCGTGTGATCGATTACTCTAGTGAGCACATCTTGCGAATATTGAGGTTCAAAGTTTTTGTATTCTGGCAGGTCATTCTCAGAATTTTGCTTTTCGCTGGTTGGGTCAGGGTTTTGTTCATCGTATTTCTGAACTTCAGGTTTTGCTGTTTTAAGTAGTATTTCGATTTTTTCTTTCGGGTTCTGAGGACGCTTTTCATGCTCTGGCTCGGGATTTTGTTCGTTATATTTTTGTTCTTCAGGCACTGCTTCTTTAACTGCTTCAAGTATCCTTGCATATTTTTCTTTTTGTGGGTCTGAATAATTTTCTTGGTTATTGTTGTTATCCTCGTAGCTTGGTTTGTTAGTTTCTGAATTACTGGTGGTAGTTTCTTCTACATATCCTGTAGAATTGTTTTCAGTCTCGGAGAATGGGATAATCTCAATTATTTTGTATTTCCCCTCCCCGGACAAGTCCTTGGAATCAGTTTTTGCAATAATAAATTCATGAGGGTGATGAGACTCGGGCTTTATAGGTGATGCAGATAAAACTGCTACGAAACACAAAATCGCAAAAGCAATGGGAGACATCATATCTGAAAAAAATTATTATATATTAGTGTGATATTACATAATTAGTAAGATAAATATACAAATTTTAAATCATTTTTAATATTTATTAACATAATATGAGTAATAAATCAATCAGAAAAATTTCGAATTCTGTAAGAGCAATTAATTCAAAATATTTTCTTACCTACTTCCTCAACTATTCACGACAACTGATGGTCTTTTGCAAGTGGCTACATTTTATATACAATTTGGGTTAATCTTTAATGTCTTCGACGTCCTAATGATATATTTTAGCTAATGTGCCTCCTTGCTTAATGAAATGGATTACTTAAGTATATCAATTAACGTATTCCAAATGCCTATATTCGTATGAATCAACGTCGAATCTATTTGGACTTGCAATTTCGGTTACCAACAATTATTAATATTTTTTATTAAAATACTGCTATTGTGTCCAGGGACGTTTTCTATCTCTCAAATTTTTCCAAAAAATAAGATACTCGTACATTATATTAATTCCAATACACTACTTCACGATGTGTTGCGCGGCTCTCGAAATACGCCCCGGCTACATCGTTAATATTTTTATTTACAATATTCATGGGCGAGCCAGGGCGCAATTCCTCGCGAGACCCGATCTTTCAGTTTTGTTTGCCGCCTTTATATATTAAACAATTTTTTCGTAGAACCGTTCGCACGGTATGTGATTCATTAACATGTCCTGTAGGCCATTACGGTTTTGTTGCTCCAGGTCGTGCCTGGACGATGCGAATATAGGGCAATGTAGAAGCACATGTTCTACTACTTTGTTCTTCATTACTGCAGGCACATGTTGGGCTTGTCCAACAATTATTATTAAAGCTATATACTTTGTGTGTAAAATGTTTCAACACACGGCCAGTAACCGTTGGAAAATATGTTTCCATTTTCGGGATTTTCTAAAAGCTAAACCGTTTTTGGGTTAGTACTTGGAGGCCTACCTACCTAGCTTATTGCAAGGCTTTTTAGAACCTACAACTGAACTGCATCGTTATTGACACCATGACATCGAATAAACCAGCCAGATTTCGTTCATATACAGTTTGTATAGAAAATTCATACCATGACTTCGTGACAGAACCTGAATTGGACCGTTTAGCCGTCAATTTGAATAAGCGATTCGGAAAAACTTACTTTTAGTAGAACTATCCTCAGATCGAAATATTAATTGAAACTTTTTAATTTTAAGATTAATAAGATATACAAGTCTTTATTTTAAAACTCTCTACTGTCGGGTACTTATGTAACTGTTTTATTTTGTCTTCATTTTGAGCTTAAGTGTGAAATTATTAAAAATCTTTGCTATATATAAATAACTAGCTGGCCTGGCGAACATCGTACCGCCTAACAGTCGATTCTTTATTTGTTTAAAATACTTATTCTGCTATTCGGGACACCGGTCTAGCTAGTAAGATAAAAAAAAGAAAATAAAAAATTACCTTCCCGGAACCCCTCCACTAACACTTGAACTTTATGCTATGGTATTAAAGTTCAAATTGACTTTTAAGTATTATTACGAATATTTTGTATGGGAATATAGAAAAGTGTTGTTTTTAGACTTTTTCACTCAATTTTTTTAATTTTTCTCCGTAAGAACCATCCTCGTACTTTAAGGTATATTATATAAAAAAATCAGACAAATCGGTCAAGCCGTTTTCACATTATGTCGTGACAACGGAAAACGGGTTTCATTTTTATATGTATAGATTTGCTATATATCAAAGTATCAAAGGTCCATTGAATTTTAGTGTACTTATACACTATTTCACAAACTATGTTTAATAATATTCAATTAATTATATCTAGATACTACTAATAACACTATAATATATATATTCAAATATCAAACGTTGATTACGTGTATTTTGACAAAATCTCTTGCAATCGGCTCATTGGAATACAGGTGTTTAACTATAGGCTAATCCCATGGTACAACCATTTTATTTAAAAAATTTAATGTTTTCAAGTACTGTGATTAATTTTCTTTAAAATAAAATAAATACATAATAAGTGTATAGTCTATACGTTATATTAATAATATCTTAAAAACTTAAGTTTTGCATAGGTATTGGCATTAAAGAATCACTTCGATATAATACGTTCCATATGTAGCTTTTAATTTTTCAAAGAATTGAATACCTAAAGTTTAAAAATCACTAAGCTAGGTATATTGATAGCTCTTATCACAATTTGACAGAAATTTAAAAACGATAAAAATTTAAGTGTCAACTAACATATATCACAAAAAAACTTGACGATTAAAATATATATATATTTTGAGTATATTTTTTTATTTATTTTATTAAATGTACTTTATTAATGTGTGTAATGTATTTTATTAATGTGTGAGTAATGTATGTTGTATTAAACATATAATAGCTTTTTGCAATTTACGTTTCTTTTAATTATAGGAGGTTTTCAAGTTATAACGACATTCCTAAGCGGTTTTTAAATTGAATTCCTATAACGCAACAGCCCTTCTCTATAACGAAGAAATATTTTCATATTTAGATATCAACAACATACTTAAGTGTAATTGTTTGTATAATCAGCTTACAAAACTAAACTTTTGAGGTGCCGAAATTACTAAAAAAGACACCTGAGGTCATAAACAGCCTTCTTGCCTTTGTTATTGTTAATTGCATTAACACGTGTGCCATTATTCTTAGATTACATTGCCTGTAGGAAATTTTGGTCTCAATTACTAAACGCACCATCGTCACCTATCTTGTATTATCAGTCGTAAACAAACTTTGAAACTGTCAAGATGGCCAGTAAAAGAAAATCGTTATGTGTTTAGAATAATTTACCTATTGATAGAAGTACAATTAGAAATTATTGTAATTGGTTAAATTTGTTTTTTTTTCTATACCCTCCCTATAACGACACCCCCTCTATAACGAAAGAAAATCTCGGTCCGTTGAAATTCGTTATAAAGAGTATACACTGTATATAAAAATGCTCTGCATATATTAAATACGGGTTGAAGTTGACCTTATTTTGAAGGGAGATATATTAAGGATAATAAATTCAAATACTTAATAATTTTAATAATTTATTTATCTAAATCACTGAGCACTAGCATCCACCGATTCTGGTTTGTTGGACATGGGCTGGTGATTGGTTTCAACATGGTATCCGTCGAGTCCAGCGGTGAACTTGGTGATGTAGAGTTCGCCATCGTCACCGATGTAGGAGATTTCACCTTCAGTGACAAGCACGTATTCCCCTTTGGCAGTGGGGACTAACTTTCCTCGCTGTGAGACCACGGTACCCTCAGCTGTGACGTAGCGCAGTGCGTACTGGCCGAATTCGTCGTGGATCTCTTCATGTTCGAGCGCAGGTAATGCGCGTCTTGCTGCGATTTCGGGGTCTACGCTGGGCGCGCAAGTTGCCGCCGCGACCAAAGCACAGAATACTACGAACTGGAAATAGAATTTTGAATTAATACAGGATACTTATATGTTGTAAGGGAAAATATTTAAAAGAAATTGATATTCAAATAACTTTCTTAAGGTTTAGCTGTTTCATATAAGTTTCCAACTCCAAAACACCATTATAAAAAAACTTGCAAAGAAAGTTTTTGCAATTCAGACTTCTGTTCGAAATTTGAAATTCAAAGTCGAAGAAGGTTAATTGTTTTCAAAAATTAAAATTTAGAACAATGAAAAAAATCGTCAGAAAACTTACCATTTTCATCTTGATGAGGTTTTACTTGAAACTTGTAGTTTACAATTGAAGCTCTTAACACTGCTGGTTCCTTTCTGATGTCAATGTCAAGAAACTATCACTTTATATACTAAACTATTTTACAATTAACTCGTACACCTAATTACTGTAATATAGCTAATGGATAATGTAATGAGTGCAAGTAATGCAAATTTCAAGTTTTCGCACATTAACATTAGTAATTATCAAAATTCTTTGATAATGATTTCTTGAAACTAATTCCTTAGTTTACTTTGATGATTCGCCGCGAGTGTGTGATTTTGAAATATTATAAAATACAATCAAATTAAAATGGTAAGAATGTATTACTTTTCTACCCATAGACATACTGGCGGTACTTTTAAGATACTATATGCCAACTTTCTGTCATGAAGGAAGTCTTCTTACAGAACTTCCATATATTATGTATTCCAATCCATAAAAATGTATTCGAATTTATACACTTGGCGCTCAGTTTAAATCCCGTATGTCCAAAGTGTTTTAGATTTTGACATCGAGTAGTCGTAGTCCGCCGTAGATATGAGCCAGTATTTCTAAATCTTGACTTCTTCTATCTTATATGTAATTTTATCGTACTAAGCAGGTTTATATTTTCAGATATTCGATCTGAGATCAGCACTCGTTATACAGCTTCTGCTACTAACAAGCACGTCTAAAGGCTCTGACATAGAGGATTTTAAAAGTTTCTTACCATCAGACAATGAAAGAGGAACCTATGAAAAAGGTATCCCAAATTCGCCATACATGAGCTTCACCCAATATGGAAACAATTTCTTCTTCAAACCAAACTTCGATCTTGGACCTAAATACCAAAAACATCATTTTAACTCGCCGAATTACAAAGAAACAATACCAATGGAACCGCTAACAACATATGTAGAAGCGGATCTCAAAAAAGTATTAAAGTACCCTAACGTACCAGTACCTCCGTTAGAAAATCCAAAATTGTCTGAGCCCGTTCAAAGACAGCCGAGTGCAGAAATAATTCCAATAGCCAAAATGGGTGAAGATACACAAGTTATATTGGGGCACGCAGAACCGTTACCAGTATTAAAAGGTTCACTTAACGTTCGTGAGTTATTACCAATTCTATATCAATTCTTTCAACCGTACTTACAAAACGCGCAAGCCAACGAACAAAAGCAAAGATCAGTACCTTATATCAAACCCCAAAGGTCACAAGAGAAAAGGAATCATCGAAGGATATGTGGACCCATGTGTAGACCACAATTGAATACAATTGAAGAATTGCTCATGCGTGAAACTTATGGTCAAATGCCAGATGGAGGATATATTCCATATCTATAGACAATGCGTAAGGCTAGTACTATATTAATTTAAATATCGGTAGGCATCATAATAAGCTGATATTAAGTCCAGCTGTACATAGTCTAGATTAAGAATGACTTAATCTCTCTTTAGGTATATAAGATTAACCTATTAAGGGTAATATGTCAGTTTTCTTCTGCTGCTTAATAAATGTGTTTTCTTTCTATTCGTGTTTATTTTGTATAAAAAGATTTATTAACGTAATACGTAGTATGTATTATTTGTCTAAAGCTAATATTTATATTTTATAATTGACTATCAATAAAATAAGTAGATAATTCGTTAATAAATTGGGACATCAAATCCCCAGTCGACTTGTTTAAATGAAAAAAAATATGCCAATAAATTTCAAATTACAAATACTTTTCTATAACTGAACTATAAAATAAGATAATTTTTTGGACAAATTTAAAACCAACAGCCCTTTAAAAGGCAAAATGAGAAATATCTATACAAATAGCAAAATATTAAGGCTATAATATGTCCCTTTCACTAATCCTTTATTGATTATGGTCTGAGTAGCCGCCTTTTGAAATCCAAATTCTTTCTTCCTCTGAATCGTAATTCACATAGATTGTGGAGGATAGGTGTGTTCGTCATCCTAATCGCACTAACTAGGCGGGACCGAAGATGTCCAGATATATATATATATATATTTGTCTGAACATTTGGACGAATACATATAAATATAATCGTATCACTTATTGTAGCCACATATTGAATATGTCGCTACATCAATGACTGCATGGTAAAATTAATATATAACAATTGTAAATAAAACAGGAAAGTTCAATATTATCAGTTTTATTTATTTAAAGTTCAAGACGTGGTGTGAATTTCAGTGAAATAGGTTTATCTGGTTTGTTAATTAAAAGCGTTTTAACTCCGAGCTCTCCACCCAACCAGTCGATTTTATATGCGCGGATTAACTGAAAGAAATAAATATTTGATCAATGTACGAAAATCTTTTTCTGACTGCCTTTTTAATTACTTTTCAAATCAAAATAAAACAACCTTATAACCGTACTCAGAGTTTACTAGAAGTTAAGGGTTACTTAAGGGTTGAGTAAATCTATTTGTACAAAAATATTAATCGGGAAATATGTTGGCAAGTGCGAAACTCGACTGGACCAATTCGAGTATTTTTATTAAATTTATTCTCTGAGGAACTTTTTATAGAGAGAAAAATTTGAAAACTTGGTTTTTAGTCCGGGAAAGCAAACAATGTCTGTGGGGTAGCATAGGAAAATGTTCCATGCCCTACTAAAAATGTAGGCTAAGTAAAAAAGTCATATTAAGGCGAAACTAAGTTCGCGGGGGCAGCTTATATTAAATAAATTTACAATAGATCTACGTGTCAAGGGCAACCAATATCATAACTAACATATTACATAGTATTGTCTTTTATTGACATAACCTTTACACATTTAAAGAAAAAACTTTTTAACCGGATTAAAGTTATGTATTTTTATAAATTTACAATTATTTAACATAATTTTAATTTTTCACCGTGACCACGCACGCTGTAAAGCACGCGAAACGTCGGATATTACAATTTTAAGTATCTAATTGTACAATGTAATAAATTATGAATAAGTTTTTTTTTATATTCTAAAAGTTTTCAACAATAAATAACATTAATAACCTAATAAAATACGTACCCTTAATAAAGTTATACACATATTCTGTTCAGCCAAGTGTTTGGCGATGCATGACCGAGGTCCGAAACCGAAAGGAAGACTCAAAAACGGATGAAGTTCTTCATAGTGAGGCGAACCACGGAGCCACCGCTCCGGTTTGTATGACAGAGGATTTTTGACGTATTGTGGTAGTCGTGATGCTACCATATTTTGAGTTACGACCACCGTCTAAAAGAATTTTATTATTTACTAACTGACCCGGCCAACGTTGTTTTGCCATGTATATGTATTATTTCTAGGAATAATTTTTTAGTTCAATAAAAATAACTATCTACAATAATAAAAAAGGGGTTGATCGTAGAGGGGTGAAAATGTAAGGGTTGTATGTATTTTTATGATACACATAAAAATATAGAAACAATTTTTTTTTCTGAAAACTTTTTTTTGGGGTGGACACCCCTTGTCACTTAGGGGTTTGAAAGATATATAGTAGCCGATTCTCAGACTACATAATGTGCATAAAAAATTGAATAAGAATCAGTCGAGCCGTTTCGAAGGAGTACCGGAACGAACATTGTGGCACGAGAATTTTATATAAAAGATTTATTTGTTTATTTCGTAATCCTACAGCTAACAAAAGATATATATTATGATAACAAACAATTACACTAGAAATATAGCCAGAGATGGAATATATATGTTATATTACTATCTATTATTTACCTACAAAAGGGAACAACACTAAAAATTATTCAATACATTAACTAAGATATACCTAATTTGGCTGTGTTGTGTGATGCTGAAAAATATGTACGTGAAGGTGTGTATGTGGGGTATGCTCATCATGCAGGTGATTTTGCACTATAGATATTCTTAATACTCATTTTAACCATATTCCGCGATAGCTTAAACATGTCAAGGCTTAAATATTGGTCGTTGTATGTCCGGGCTGCACGATACATAACTGAGTTTTTTGCATCTGAGTTGATGTGAATGCTTATTATGAAATCTTATTCACTTTATTGTGTGGAAACATGCGTGGTGTGATGTTATATCGGCTATAAGTTTCTCGATAAATAGACAACACAAAATTATTAAATTCGAACTCATTATAAGTTTTATAATATTAAAAAAGATAAGTGTGAGAAGCTTTAGATTAGTGGTTGACCTGTTGTATGCCATTTTCTCTCTCTTGTCTACACAGAACGAGGCCGACTTGACGAAAAAGAATCTTGCCTGTCCCCGCTTCGCAAGGCAATTTTGGCAATAAATGAAGTCTATTTAACTAGGGTAATGTAGAAATATGATGAAAGGAAAGAGTTTTTGATATTGGGCCTGTTGTTTTTGAGTTTATATCTTACATACAAAAATACATTTTTATGGATTAATTCCTGGATAATATTTGTATAGAGTCCATACAAACCCGAGACAATACTTGTGCCAAATAGGTCCACGCGTTGAATGAAAAAACCTTTTTTTATTTTTCTTTGGACTGGTAGCTGTTGTTTATGCCTGTATCGAAAGCTTCCTATCACATAAAACAAATTATATGTACAATTAACAAAAAAAAAACCTTACCCCAGCAGGAATAGTATATCCTTTCAAATCTACATCATTTTGTAGAACACGTCCTACACCAATAGATACGGGGTTTAGACGCAAACTTTCTTTTACACAACTTTTTAAATACACAGCCTTCGTGAGTACAGATGAAGAAATATCGGAATTCTCATTCGGTAGAAGGGTTGTGGCCTCTTTGAATAATTTTTCCTGGCAATCGGGGTTTCGCGCTACATGGTATAAGGCGAAGCTTGTTGTATAGGATGTCTGGAAAATAATATTTAAATTTAAATGTGCATAACTTAAACAAATATAATAATTGTAAGAGCAGTAACAAAAGTTTTCTTTAGCACTTACAAGGTGGTTAGGTTGTATAAGATGCTTAAAACTTGTATTATATACTAGTGCAGCACTAGTAATACAATTATGTGTATTTTAAGACAAGACAATTATAACAAGCTAAAGAAAATAATAATGCTTCTTTGTCTTCATAATATGAGCAAATGCCTTGTATAATGCCTCAATGAAGGAAGATGGAATCTGTGTCTTTGATGACTTCAGTGGATTATTTATTATGAATCTATAACTATCATTTATTGGGAACTAAACATTTTAATATAGACCATAAGCTTGATGGTATTTTCTATAAGGTATCGATGCATTGATCTCTACTCTCTCTCTACTTGTGTGTCCATGGGCGGCGGTATCACTTAACATCAGGAGAGCCTCCTGCCCATTTGCCCTCTGTTCTATTAAAAAAAACTTAACTATAAAGTTATTTTTGACAAAAAAAAATTATTTTAATAATCTCTCTTTTTATTGAAATGTATAAGGGTACAAATTGTAAGAAAAACTGCTGTTAAAATATTAGAATCGATTAAGTGAAACTGTATACAATTAGTAATATTAACATTTTATAGAAATAATTCTATTCATAGAACTTTTGGTAAATAATTACTTACAGTATCCACGCCAGCCATTAATATGTCCACCATCATACCAACGATGTCTTTCATATCGAGACCATCCTGTTGTACGCAATGATCTAGGAGTGAAGAGTCAACTTCCGGTTTTGGTATTTCGTAGAAATTTAATTTCTCCAATAAAATGTCCATCGATACTCTAAAATACAGTTTAAAATAATTAAGCTGGAGTTGCATATGAGGAGTCATGCTCCCTGATGATTTCTTTTTATGTACGAAATTAATACTTGCGTCAGAAAACCAACATGGAAACTAAAAACTGATAGTCAGGCACAGACGGCTGACCAACCTACTACACCTGCTGTCTATATACGTATACGTAACGTATTTTCTCCTTCGGAAAGCTTTATACATTCACTAACATATATATCTTCTCAATCTGTCCTATGTTCAAAAAGTATTCTTCATGTGCAACAATAGATAGTAATATTGTTAGTGTTACGTATTATGACAAGTTTGTTTTATGGAACAAGGGGAAAACAGGCAGGAGGCTCATCTTAAGTGGACCCATGGACACTCTCAATGCCAGAGGGCTCGCGAGTGCGTTGCCGGCCTTTTAAGAACTGTTACTCTTTTACTTTTCAGCCGAGAAACTGGCTGCCCACGACACAGGTAATCCTAGTGTATAGCCCCCACTGTGCACTTTTTTTTAAAGTAAACAACCTTTTTTATCACGTATAATAAAGTTTTTTTCTTACTATAATATTATTTGCATTCACAAAGTTTTGAAATATCAAGCAGAAAACTCAACTTATTTGATTTTAACTCATAGAAACGAGTGATAAATATTAAAACACAAAACTCACGGGAATAATATACATACTTTTCTAAATATTCCTGCGATTTAGCCAATTTCCTATATAGAGGTGTTTTGAAAAGTTTCCACAAAACTCCTTTATCGAGCTTCATTATTCCTGAATTCGAACCAAATGCGGCAGCTATTATTTTACTAGTACGGGAATGAGTAGACTGCTCGGGCGCAGAAAAACTGTTAAAACGCTCATTGAACGCCACCGCGCCAATAACTGTAAATTTTTTAAAGTTACTTAAATTTACAAATAAAATACCGCAAATTGAAAATGTTCTGTGACTTTAACAAATTCAAGCGCGAATTTATTACATTATCATCAAAGTCGGTCCAGCTGTTTCGGAGCAGTTTAATTACATTATATATCTAATAAATTAAAGATATCAAATGTTTTAATGATAAAAATTAAATTATTTATGCTTGTTTTGTTATTTTAATTCAAGATCAAAATTTGCCAAATCGGTCCAGACATTGACGAGTTTTAGCAAGACAATCGAACAATAATGAACCATAATGCGATGTTTCGAGTGCTATTAAAAAAAACTATTCTCGTAACACCCCCATAACTACAATTTGTGCCCAATTTCATAAATTTTTCCTACAGGAATGAGGTCCAAAATAGAATATTAAGTCACATTTAGTCACTCAAATACGCACACGCTCCCATACGTACTTGCAAACAACAATATATTTAATTTTACTGGGGAAGGCCATTCATGGATATTTTTCCGTTTGGATAAAAAAATAAATAAATCTCCTCCTTCATCCTCTCGCTAACTACGATTACATAAATTGTAGTTATAATTCTTTGTAATATTTTTTTTTCTATCAATTGCGCGGGTATGCTTCTTTTGAATATCTGTAACGCTGATCAACGATCGGGGTTACAAAGGTAAGGGAATCATAAAATACAAAAGGGATGGCTATCGCTATTGGAAGCATCTACGAAATTCTGCAAATAATTTTAAGTTATGATATCAATTAATGTAAACGTTTCCACGAATTCGCAATCAAAATCAGTAATTTAAATATATATTAAAAGTTCCAGGTACCTTCAAGATTAAGACGATTTAAATACGGTAGGAAGTCGGAAACCGATGTACGATTATTATCTTTTATCCATTGCATAAATTCCGTGACGACCTTATCTGTAATTTTAACGTATTTTTTCGCATTTTGTGGACCAGAAAAGTTTTTTTGAAAGGCACTCCGTAAACGCCACCATTCCGGGCCATTTCTGAAAGAGTATTAAACAATATTTAATAAGAATCGTTGCAAGATACAATGTTTATTAGGTATTCTGGCAGGACGTAAGTGTTAAAACGAGCAGTGTTGGTCTAATGGCTTGACCATTGCGTGTTGTTCCCACGAGAATGTAAGTGCGTGCTCCTATTTCACCATGCCTCCTGCTGATAGAGGACAAGTCTTTGTTTTTAATTTATGTTGTTATTATTAATTACTTAAGATGTCATGTGGAACATGGTGTAATGGTTGCTCCTTACAAACGTTGTGTAAAAAAAACATCGCGATTAAAAAGAGTGGCGGAGAGTTGATTTCCAGTTCTTCTCTTCCGTTCTACGCCCTTGATTTGAGAACAAGCACTAAATGTAAAGTTAGAAGCATTTCATATACTTACATTTCATTTTTTTTGACGTTCATAAGTGTACATTGTGTTACCTATATGATTAAATGATTTTGACTTTTATCTTTGGACCATGACCCCGAAGTCTTCTTTCGAATCACGGTTGTACACCAATGCACTTTTCTATTTGCGTATTAATTAAACACACGCGTACGCGAAAAACTTAGTGAGGAAACCTTAGGCCCAAAAGTCGGCGGCGTGTGTTAGGCAAATTAAAAAATATCAACTGATACAGAAAAATAATGCCGTGACTAAAGGTTGTATTTGTTAAGTTTATTTACTATGTATATCGTTAGTTCTTGAATAAACAAAATTACAGTGCTTTTCCTATACAAGCCCTCGTATTATAGTTTGTAGAGGTATTCTTTGAAACACAAGATTTATACAGAGACAGAATTCTACAAACTTTCGCGGCAAATAAATTGGCCAGTTAGACGTTGGTCACATTCAGATTTTTTCCTACCAAAATTGTATGTGCAAACTTTCCTCTATATCGTAACTTACGTGGAAAGGAGACCACCTGAATTGTAAACTTTAGGTTTGCCAAGACGATAATGTAACATGGCTATATGGCTCCTTCGGGCTGGATAGCGATCGTTTTGCCGGAATATTATCTCCATTAGTTCTGGTTCATAAATATGGAGTAAGTTTACAATCGGATACTCCCTCACAAGGCCCCCGTAACGGCGCCAGTTCAGCCAGGCATTTTTGTCCAATGTATCAGCATTATAATCACCTAGGACGAATGTTTGTTTAAAACGCAACTTAAACCCTTTATTTGTATGTATATCCTTGATTTATGCTATGGTGGTTATAAAATATAAAATAATTGTAGTTTATCTAAAGATTTGATTTGGCCATACGGGAATCACAGTTCAGGCTAAGTCTCATCGCGTAGCAACGAATCTGATTTTTTCTCTCCAAAAATATAAATTAATACATTAATTATTTTTAGGTAATTGCGTTATACGTTAATTATATGCCAATAAGAGAACGCAATACTTAATTAATTTTTAATAATTTGCTTATTATTAGTATAGTAATTAAAATGAGTTGAATCGTATAGGTATGTGGCTAATTACTTATAAAATCAATCTGTTTTCGATAATGTTTAATTTTTTTATAACTTAAATGCTGAATAATGGATGTGTTTTAGTATTGTAATAAACTTACCTATAATGGGCCAGTACTTGTAAAGGCTGCCAATAACGGGAAATATTTTTGGTCCCGGAATGTCTTTTATACCAAGTTTTGTATTTGTACATGGACGTCGCGGAGTACCGTTTCGAAAAAGCGGAATAAATTGAAATGTTTTCGTTTGTTTTATATTATAAATCATTTTATCTTTAAACACTACGCAACCCAAGAAAGCAGAAAATATACTGAAATCAGACACCCTCTGGCCTCTGCTTATGGTATGAAATGAGATGCACATACTTTAGCACGAAAAACAATGCAAGACAAATGTATTCATCTAAACTTTTTACCTGTTTGTCCCAATGTAAAACTTTATATCTGGTCTCATAACTTCGAGCATTGTATATCGTTATTTTATTCAACAAAATCGCTGATACCTGAATTGATAACTAAAGGTGCGCTTACACGAGGGCAATAATTGCTCGGCGACACGAATGGACCGATCTGGAGCAATTAATGGAGCAATTTCAATAAATTCAATAAATTGCAATAAATTATTTCGGAGATATTGCTTCTAATTGCTCCAGATATTTCATATCGCTCAATGTCGCAGATACGAATTGACGAATATCCAATGGACTTAGAAATTCCTAGCAATTTTTGTATATGTCTCATTCGCACTTGTTTGTTTTGCGGCTTGCCGTCTTGCTTCCGCGGGGAGAGCGAGAGGTCTAAATAATAATAATTTCTAATTACTTTATTCAAAAGTAATTCAAAGTCTGTTCGTGACATTCTAGTAAAGTTTTTGAATAATATATCATCTTTACATAATGAAAATTTTGTCTTCTTTGCCAAAAACGATCGCACCCACATACGCCTATTCCTTTTCTTTCTTTTTTGTTTTTGATTTATGATAAAAAAGCGCTACAAGCCGCCGCAGCAAGAACAATGTCGTCCATAGCGAGCGAAAACTGAAATGCTCGTGTATGACAGTATTGCCTAGTTGATGAAGTTGCGCCATATCGCTCAATATTGTATTGCGCAGTATTGATGCTTGTTGCCGTTACCGTAAATTGCTTTATGTAGTCGTGACGTCATAATTGACGAGTATTGACTGGAATTGAGCAATTTTAGTTGCCCGTGTAAGCGCACCTTAAGACAAGCTTGAGACGTTGTTCAGTGTTGATGTAGAAATGTTCACATATAGTTATTTAGTAACATAAAAACCATAAAAAAATTGTCCCAACCAACTTACCTATTATTTTCATAATGGTAGAGAGAGAAATTTTAATTTGATATTTCAAACTATTTTTTAATATTTCTAAATATTTGCTGGATTGAAAAATGAAGATACTGAATTTATCCAGATTCAATAAAACACTTAAACAATTAATTTTTTATTTTTAACAACTTCATTGGTATTTTAGCTTCCTTCACATTTGGGATGAGGTTTTCTCCTAAAGGACTAACTGCTTTTATATCTAGGCTACTTAAATCTCTAACAATGTCTAGACGTTCTCGCCATTTTTCAAGCCCATTCCAAGCTATCATTACACCATTGTCTGTACATAACTTAGGTGGTGGCCTAAAAATTTTATATCCCGTATCGTCACACAAAATTGTAAGATTTTTAAAAATGAAATTATTACATGCCACACCTCCAGACACTACCAGCTTTCCCTCATGCTCAGAAAGTAGTTCTCTTGTTTTGCAAAACTCCATGGCTCTCTGAGTTCTATGGACCAGGTGTCTGGTCACAGCCATGAGTAAAGCCGCACACAAATCATTTACTTCTGGTATCAATTCATCAGCCTCAATATTGTGTTCTTTCTCTTTTTTATGCAGATGTAAAAATGTTCCTGTTTTAAGGCCATTAAAACTAAAGTTGCAATCTTTATAATCAGCCATTGGCAAAGGTAATTTAAAAATGTGAGGATTTGTTGCTTTAGAGGCAGCTGTTTCTATAGCTTGACCACCAGACATTTGGGAATATTCAGACACATTTCTTAGTTTCATCTTTCTTGCTACCTTATCAAACACTTCTCCCGGAGCAGAATCTATACTTTCACCTAGTAATTTAAACTTGTTTACACCTTGAACTAATGCTAATAAGCAATGTCCACCAGATATAAGAAGTGTAAGATATGGAAATGTTATACTTTGCTGCATTCTAGCAACTAAGGCATGAGCTTCCATATGATGAATGGGTATCAGTGGCTTATTAAACTTTCTAGATAAATGTTTGGCATATTTCATTCCAACTGCTAGACTAAGTGGTAATCCAGGTTGAAGTGTTACAGCTAAAGCAGTTATGTCATTCATAGATACTTCAGCTTTGTTTAATGTTTCCTCAACAGTTGGTTCTATAAACCTTCTATGGAGATCTTGTGCCACATCTGGTATTATACCACCATTCCTTAAATGTATTAAACTTTGACAGTGCAGTGATTCAGATAAAAGCGTACCTTCAGAATCTATAATAGCACAACCAGTATCATCACATGAAGTCTCAATACCAAAGATTAAAGCATTTGAATATCTTTTAATTCCTGTAAATTTCTTGTGCTTTGTAAAACATAATAAAGTTTTTATTGATTTTGTAAATGATCTATATGAGCCGTTGATGAACATAATAAAAAATATATTAATAAATAATAATAGTATTTTAAATATTTTTTAATTATTGATGATGATGATATTAATTTATCCCAAATGGGAAAGGCAAACTGCAAAGGCCTTTTTATTATTGACTATATTCTGTTAATTTCTGTATTTCAATTTTCAATTAATGCATAGAGTATAGACTATAATTAACAAAGACTATAGATCAAGTAGATACAGACGTATATATCTGATAAGCGTATGTCTGATATAACGTACTTGATTGCTTGTCTAGTCATTAGTTTCTAATTCATCTGTGGTCTTCATACAAAAAATACAAACAAAATACTAATAATATAATATTACTACTCATAAACCTTTAAGTACTTAAGTTTATAACATTAATAATTACGAATGATTGTCAAGTTTAGGGCTCAGATATCAAAATCTGACCAAATCTCTTACCTTTAGAGTTTAGACGATGAATACCTTAGGACGAAGGTCTTAATTCTTATCAACCGATTTCTATAAACAAAATGATGAGATTATTTTTTAAAGATGACTTGACTTTTCGTAAAGAAGTGAGTACTCATAAGTAGAGTCTGGCTAATGAAAGAAGATAACGAAAAAGCGCGGCAAATCCAAAAAAAAAGGGTGCGTGAACTTTTTTTTTTTTTTGTTTTTTATTATGGCTCTCGCACGGTTTGTGCATTAGCCAGCGTCAAGTAGGTATAAGATTTTATAAGTCGCTGTTTTAATTATTTACAGTTTATGAATAATAAAAAACGAAGGAAACTAATCGCGACATAACATAGATGATTGAAAACGCATTAAATTTACAACAAAATCAGAATAGTTACATAAGGGGAAAAATAAATCAAAATTATAGTTTAATGTTATTATTTACAATAAATATACTTATAATACTATATACAAGGGGATTTAAATCTCGAAGAAGTAAAGAAATATTGGTAGGAAGGGGAACAGAGAGAGATACTAAAGAAGTATATAAGGAAGAATGGTCATATTTAGGACAAGAAAAGAAAACATGATTCAGGTCAGAATAGCTCTCGCCACACTCACAGGCGGTACTAGTTACGATACCAAGTTTGTGCAAATGAACTGGAAGGCTGTTATGTCCCAGACGCATACGGATTATAGTAGAAAAGGTGGTTTTAACAAGCGACAATTTGGCAAACCATTGCTTCCTGGGCACGGAAGACTGTATAGCATACAAGAAACGACCCTTAATCCGGCCTTTCTCTTCCCAACTCATATTCCACGATTTGTGGAGATATATGCTGGGCAAAGCAGCAAGATCATGGCCAAAATTCTTGTTCGGGTGTACGTCACCGGTCTCAGTAGCACTGTTAGCCAAACTGTCAGCTTTTACATTTCCAGAGATACCACAGTGACTAGGTATCCAACAGAATGAAACTAAATAGTTGTGTAATTGGCAGTGCAACAGCTTTCTCTTACATTCAAATATTACATGAAAAAATGGGTTAAGTTTTAGTGAAAATTTTGCTAAGCTCTGTAAAGCACTTAAGGAATCGGTAAATATAACGGTTTTTTTGAGTTTGAAACACAACACATATTCAAGAGCTTTTAGTAGTCCAAAACATTCACCGGTAAAGACCGATGATTCCGGAGGTAATTTAATTTTCTGAACTATGTTGTATTGTTTGTGAAACACTCGCAACACCAACACACCCATTGGAGTGTTTAGATGAATCTGTATACATTTGATGCCAGTTAGGCCATTTGCTATTGACATTGCAATTAAAAATTGCATTGGCATTAAAATCAGATTTTTCAATGCCAAGAGAAAAGCAAATCTCTGGAGAAAGAAGAAGAGAATCATAAGAAGAGCTAAATAGAGGAAGTACATTAAAGGAATGAGTTGGGGCTTGTAATTGTTTGAATTTCAGGAAGCTTTTTAATAGACAAGGTAAAGGTTTATGTGAAGAGGGTAATTTTAGAGAAAGAGACTCCAGTTTGGAGATGAGGGGATGATGGAACTGAACAATTCTAAAAATCAATCTATCTGACAGATATTGACGTCTTAAGTTTAATGGAGGGTCACAACATTCTATTTGCAGATCATTAACCGGGCTTGATTTCATGGCACCAGAAACAATCCTCAAAGCCCTAGACTGTATGAGGTCTAGTTTTCTAAAGCCAGCTACATTACCTGGATCTAAGAAAAAGGTCCCAAAATCCAGTACACTTCTAATGACGGCATTATACACCAACCTCAATGTGGCCGGGTGAGCACCCCACCAAACTCCACTGAGACATCTCAGCATGTTCAAGTGTCGCTCACATTTACCAACTACAAATTCGCAGTGTGGTTGACCTGTTAGTTTAGAATCAAGTATAACTCCTAAGAACTTTACTTGATTATAAACGGGTAATATATGACGATCATATGTTATAGTAGGTGAGGGAGGAGTTCGGGATTTAGTGAAAAGTACAACGGAACTTTTTGAGGGAGACAGATCTAGGCCATTTGCATCCATCCAGGATTTTAGCAAAGATAAAGAGGAGGAAACATGTTGTTCAGCAATACTTACCCACATATCAGAGGCATAAATAACTAAGTCATCGGCATATTGTAATAAACTAACTGAATCTCCGATTGAATCTTCTAGGTCATATGTATAAATATTGTACAATAAAGGACTCAGAACAGACCCTTGTGGCAAGCCCCTCCATACCAGCCTACTAGGCATTTAAGGGCCGCCAACATCTAAAATAATTTTCCTCTCCGAAAGAAGATTTACAATGAAATTAGTTAAAAAATAAGGAACCTTTAATTTATTTCATTTTCTTTTTAGAATATGTAACAAAACGTTATCATAAGCCGAATTAATATCCAAGAAAGCAGCGACTACTGACTTTTTATCTGAGAAAGCATTACGAATGTCCGTAACTAATATGCCTAAATTGTCACATACACTTTTACCTTTTCGTAATCCAAACTGAGTTGGGGACAGATATTCGTTATTTTCTATAAACCATTCAAGCCGATTTTTAATTAAATGTTCCACAACTTTTGTTATCACCGATGACAAGACAATCGGACGATATGATTTAATATCAGATCGTACCTTAGACGGTTTTAAAAATTGCAGCACTATTTGACTTCGCCAAGATGGCGGTATGTCATTTGTCAATAGAACTTTATTTATTAAATTTAAAAAGAAATTTAATCCATTTTCGCCAAGGTGAGACAGAAATGAATATGGGATCCCATCTTCCCCAGGTGCACTGTCTTTGACGTAATTTAATACACCTTTTAATTCCACTAACGTGAAAGGTAGATTTAGAGAGGAAGGGGCGGCATCAGAGTTATTTTGTTTAGAAGAGTGGATAAAATCTCTAAGTGGAGCAGAAGGAGGAGCCAAGTGGTCAAGGAATTGATCAGCTAACTCTATAGGAAGTAACGACGTGTTAGAAGGATTGACAGCTGACCTAAATCTTTAGATATTTCGCCAAATGACAGTTGCATGTGTTCCAGGTGATAAGGTGCTACAATATTTCCTCTACCCCTCAGATTTCTTTTTTTTAAATAGCTTTTTAACTTCTTTCATCACAGTCATTAAGGTCTCATAGTTTTCCATAGACTTATCATTGCGATAATTATGCTCAGCTGCCTTGCGTTTTTTAATACTTGTGGTACATTCTTCATCCCATCATGGTGGAGATAGCAACTTATTACTACGCGGCTTTTTCTTTTGAAAAACATTATCAGCCGATTCTAATAAAACAGTTTTGAAATAATTACTATCTGTGACATTAATTTCTGAGCAACTATTAATTTTCTCTTCTACTAATAAAGTGTATTGACTCCATTTAGAGTCAATGATTTTGTGTTTGAGGCGAGAGTTTTGAATAAACATGTTACTATTTTTTTACAGGGAAATGAAATGATTATTGGATAATAATCACTATTGTAAGATGAACACAAAGTAGACCAAGATAGAGAAGATGCTAAATTGGGAGTACAAATGGACAGGTCAATGGCTCTAATTGCTTCACCAGGTTTTGTGAGGCGAGTAGGAGAACCCGAGTTTAAAATGCACAGGTTATACATGTCTAAGATATCCAATAATGCATACCCATAACTATTAGAAACCGAGCTACCCCAAGATGTGTGATGAGAGTTGAAATCACCCAGAATCATGAAAGGCTGAGGAAGTACTGAAATTAAGTTTTTAATTTCATTGAAAATTTGCAAGGAGGGGTGAGGGACATAGATAGAGACAAAACAGATATCATCAACAATAGCTGCCATGATAGAAAAGCTGTCACTATGTGAAGGAAGAGGGAAGGAAGAAAAGGTGCTAGAGTTTCTGATGAGCAGGCATACACCACCATACCCATCAGCCCTGTCTTCTCTTAAGCATAAATAACCAGGGATTTTGAATACATGATCTGGCTTTAACCAGGTTTCAGATAGAGAAAAAATAAAAGGATTAAAAGTATTTATAATATGTAAAATTTCATGTTTTTTGTTAATTATACTGCGGCAGTTCCATTGAACTAGCCTGGCCATTATTAATGTGAGTGTAGGTATTAATTAAATTAGCAGCGTGGGACGGTATAGATAAATTGGGTTGTGAAAGTAATTTAATTAATGTAGTAATTAGCTCTGCTATTGTCTGTGAGTTTACATTAGAGGATGATTTAAATGCACAACCATTAGATGGCTCTGGCATATTGTAGTCTCCTACAAGAGACTCATGTGCAACATGATCGTAACCTTTACTTTGTTGAGGAGGCGTTCTAGGTTTAGTAAAAACAGTTTTTTTGTAAGATAGTGTACGTGGAGGTGGTGAACCAGGCAATACTGTATTTCCACCAGGAAGAGATTTACTTGGGATAGAGGAGAGAGATTTCTTTCCCTGCCGCGAAGCACCTCTCCTTTACAACTCATTCTTTAGATCTGCTATTCTCCAAGCAGAATACATGTTGAAAAACTTGTTTTAACCAGAAAGTAGATCGGATTCGTAAAAAAAAACGCTATAAAATAGACGGAGATTTTTCGACGATCAACTGAATGGAACAAACATACAGCGCCCTCTACTGGAAAAGTTTCTAGTGGTCTTCCCCATTCAATGACATTCTGTGTTGCCATCTGAGAGTTTTCAAATAATTCAATTAGATTTTCAACTTCTATCTTTCATTAGCCAGAGAAGAATAAGAGGAGGATTCTATAGGTATAGAGGAATAAGATGTAGTCTATGAGCGAGGGTGGATTATGGTCACGTGACACGTCACGCCACAGTTAGAGATGCTTATGTGCTTCATAAATCATAGTTCATACTGACTAGTGACTAATGTCTTTACAAAAAATTTAATTTTAAGATCAATTTAACAACTTCTAAGTTCTAATGAGTTATTAGAATTGTTTCGAGTAAAGTGACTATTCTCAATCCTACTTCTTTTTAAAGCACATAATTGCATAATTAGGCACAAAAAAGAAATATTCTAAGATTTACCTGAATTTAGCTAACATTACCAATGCAACTAGTGATCATTCAGTGCAAACTACATATAAATAATAAAGCATCGTGATTTGTTATACCTAATTCATTACCTTTGCCAAGTTTTCATATAAAGTATTTAACCTTACATTATAGTTCGAATTAGACTATAGACTGACGAGCTGCGTTCTTGCAGTTTAAACATGGAAATCTTTGAAAGAGTCTATCGTAACTTAATGAGAAAATTAAATGAACTACCTGTAACTGTTAATAAAACTGTTGACATTGTTAATAAATCACTTAATAATGTAAGAGTACCTCCATTAACAAGAGATAATGTACTTTATTATTATATGCCCATGCAAGGGCTTGTTAGTTACACAACATTATCAGTGAGTGTTATGAACCCACATCTAATGGTCAGGTACTGTGGTTTTTTAGATAATCAAGTAGTAAATGCTATTGTGTAATACATTTTTATAATTATTTTTGGGGACAGTCCAAATTCGCTGTTTTGATCAGTTTCTCTTACATATTTATACATTGTATTTTACTAGAATAAATAATCTTTGCTATAATAGGTATAGCTCTCTAAGTTGGTTTGTAATTTGAACATATTCTATTATATATAATATTTTTTTAGATTATTTCCTCGTCGAGATATCACAGACATCCTCTTCTTGTCAGCGGGTGGTGGAGCTGGGCTTTGGCTCTGGTCTAGACCTCATGTAGCTGCAGCAGCACCAGCTAGACGGTTTTCTTGGGCGTTTTTAGGTGGTTGTCTTTGGCCACTAGGATCAATATTTCTATGGGCAATTCTAAGAAGTTCTATTGGCCAAAGACCTGTTATTGGTACTATTGTTGGTGTGTCAACAGGAGCAATGCTCACCAATATAGCAGTTGACTATTTCCAATATATAGAACTCATGTTTTGTGGTGAGATTCGGTTACCTGACGAAACATACAGTCCAAATAGTGATGATGAGAAATATGATATTGATCTGTAAGTGTGATAAAATATTTCAGATAATGCAATTTTTTATTACAAACAAAACAAGTTTTGTTTCCCTACTGTTTCAATGTAAAGTATGTATATCTTCTACATCAATCCTTATACTAAGTAAAAGATCTGTTTAATATTTTATATTTTTTTTGTTGGAAACTATAAGTAATATATATAAATGCTGCATTGGTAAATTGTGTAAATGAATAGAGTGGTATGTAGATTTCTGATTATCTCCTCTTTTATGCTTAAAGAGCACGGTTTTTTCTTCTATCTGTAAGTGTAATGTAATATTCAATTTGTATCTAGTCTTGTGCAATTGTTAATTATACTGTTATTTCTGCTGACATTGTTTCATTTACATTTTAAAAGCCCAATTTCATAAATAACTACTACAAACGAGATATACCAGAGAATTTTAAGTTTTTATATTTTTTTGACTAAGTAGTAGCTACCTGCATAGCTCTCAATTTTATATTGGTAAAAAAATTATCTAATAAAATAATGATTAATCACTGCAGTGTAGTGATTTTTGAAAGTGTTAAACATGATTTCATATATGCAATATCATTGCGTATACGTAAGGAAAAATAACAAAAAGTATCAATTAACTCAATTATATTTTGAAGATTACAAAAATACATGAAATGTTTGTCTAATTGTTTTGTGGTGGTTTGGACCATTCAACATTCAAAATCAAGTGATCATAACCATGTCCATTAAGAGTTTGGATAGCCTTTGCGGCATCAGCCTTGAATTTGAAATGAACATATGCAAATCCTTTGCATAACCCAGTACTCTGTAACAAAATTAAATAATTAGGAATAATTTCACATACAGAGTTATGTTTTTCAACAAATTTACTAGGTAGCTTAATTCAGTATAGCAAAAATTAATACACTGAATACAATTTCATGAACCATGAAGTGTAATAAATATAATACCTTCTCTTTCGCCAAGTATAGTTTGTGCACTGGTCCAAATCCTTTGACAAGGTCATCAAGATCAGCTTCAACAGCAAAGTTGCTAAGGTTGGATATACGAATAGCAGCAACATCATCGCCTCGCCTTGCACCAGGAGGTTCACGACCTGGTCCACGGCTTGCTCCTTCACGCATGTTAGGTGCCACATATTTGTTTGTAGATGAAGCTGCTTTAGCTTCTGCAAGTATAAATAAAAAAATTCATTATCATCCTTCCATGAATATACATAGTCAAATGTTAGCTTAATTAATTGTTAAATTTAATTAACCTTAATTTCATAAATTATAAAGTTATCCTCCGCAAGTATTAACATAATTTCACAGACAAGAAGAAAGATGGAAGAAATTACAATTGCGTTACCTAACATTCAAACAGAATTGGATGCACATAAATCAACAACAACGTGACAGAACAACGTATCGAACGTAAGTCATATTAATAAAATCATTTTACATACTAGTGAAAATTTTTACATACTAGAATCGAAAGAATAAAGATCTAGCAGAGAAACAAGAAAGTAGACTATTATCTAGAAAAAATTGCTTGACCGAGAAAGATATTATTTCTAAAAATAATATTTTTAAAATTAAAATTTTTATAGAAAAAATCAATTCATATTCCAGCATAGAAAAAACTTAATAGATAACAGTTTTTTATAGAATTAAATCAAAGTGTACATTAAAAAAAAGAGAAAGAAGCTGGCATATAATAGAGAAGTTTTTAACTATCTAAAGTTAAATTAAATTGTTTAAAAAACAGCTTATTAAACAACACCTCCACCTATTATGTAAAAGAAGATTACCCTGAGTATGTACTTAGAAGTAGAAGGGAGAAACAAGGCTGACAATAATAAAACTAAAATCTCCAACATTAACAAAAGAACTCTCTTTATGTCACCAGAAAATAACTACTAATGAAAAAAAAACGGACAAGTCAGAGAGTTACTCTAAAGAAGTAAAAAGCAAAGTATAGTAAATTTTCTGGTTAACAAAAATACATATCTACACATTGAAGAACAGTAAAGATCTAGACAACCAATAACAACAAAAAGCGCCTTCTTTGCTCGAAAATTAAACTAAAGAATAAAAATTCATTGCTCTAGCCATTTGGTCACTGTGGGAAATTAGACTACCACCACTCTACACTATAAACTGCAATTTAAACAAAAATCCCAAATATCCACAACAAATGTGCATGTCCAATGTAAAGTCCCTTTTCTCAAATGAAAGATATCTAGAATTGGCCTATTCTATCAAAAATATTTCACGGGATCACAGAGAGTGGTGCTATTCCAGCTCCAATTTGATGGGTCTAAAAATTTCAATTGTACAAGTATATGCACCAACTATTCAAATTGCATAAATTTATGAAAATTTTTGAGTAAATAAAAGGCTTATTATTATAAATTAATGATAAGCCCCAACCTTGCAACTGCACAAGATTTTTACAACTCACCATTTTATTCATTCTATATTTTTATATAGATCACTTTCATATCTTCTCCTTGTCTCTGGTTTAAAACCTTGTTTACCTTTTAAATCAATTCATAATAAATGGACAGTAGGATATAATTTTTACAAAACATACCTGCTGCTTTGGCAGCTTCGTTAGCTTTAGTCTGAGCAAGTTGGGTGTGCTTAAAGGGACAGCTTGAAGTCCAATGCTCTCCTTGACAAGTACGACATTTGAAAATGACACTACTTGTTTGGGGCTGAAAAACATTTTTTACATGATTGTTTCATAAAATGTTTTTTTAAAGTGTGTTGCATTTTAATCAAGCAATATGCAACTGTATGGATGAAAAAAATTAAACACAGCAAGCAAGCACAGTATTTGTACATTTTCTCAGGCTTTCATACTCAGTTAAATTAATGGTTCAGCAAACTAATTTAATAATAAATAATTTTTTCCAATTGTTACCTTTAATCCATCCAAGTCACTGTCATCAGGACGCTGTGCTTCTTCTTTGCTACTAATAAACTGCATGAATACATCTTCAGCAACATTGGTAGTGGCAGGGTTTGGGCCAGGTTTGTCTTCAGCAGAATCACCAAATTTACTCCATGTTTTACGTTTAGCAATACTCTGAAAATATAATTCAAGCGATATTTAAGTACACATTTCATCTTATAATATAATATTAGTCAAAGCATTGCATTCTACAAACTCAAAATAATGATATCCTCAATATTGTTTTAAAACTAAACTTACCTTAGATACAACACGTTTTTCTATTTTGTATGTACGGACGATTTTAACTTTTTTATTATCGTTATCGTACTTGTATTCTGTAACAATTTTAAGTCCATTTTCAACAACTTCTGAAGGCGGAGGAAGAGCACCTTGGTCTATTTCAACCTCATCCGCCCAAGATGATTGAATTTCATCAGCAACTGGCATCTGAAGGCATAGACATACAAAACTATGTTTAATGTTATAATACAATAAAATAGTACCAATAATTACATTGGCATGATGTCTTATTAACTACATAAACGGTATGTCCTAACCTTACTTTATAGAAACTTAAGTACAATTATGTTCACTTAAGGTAATATTATCAACAAGCGTACGTTAATTACCTTAGTTACAAATTACACTTGGCCGGATAGTTTTTAAATTTATAAATCGATGACGACGATTATTATCACATTTAAGAAACTGGAAACTGTCATCAAACTACAAAGATGCCAAAAAGGCCAAAATTTCAAAGAAATTTAATATCCACAGATAATGCTAACATGCTATTTTCTATTTTCTTTCTTTGTTTTTTTAATACATATCCAAATTTATTAACCTTTCTAGTGGTTATGCATTGTTGGAGAGCTAAGAAAAGGGTTATGTTTAAAAAATAATCTGCAATCCCAGTTTCGTAATGGTTTTTTGTTTTTAAAGCATTTTGGAAGAAAATAATATTGAATTACTATCTTTTTCATCTCGCATTTTTAAATATGGATCGAAAATTGTTATTTTAATATTGATAACTATTTTTATTATTATTGATTGGCTGGCAACGCACTATTGAGCCTTCTGGCAATGTGAGTGCGTTTTCCAATTACAGAGCATAATGCGACTCAGTGCCGCACAATGCCGCATTATGCTGAAGCTTAATTGGAACGTGAATTAGTTTTCAAATGCATCAGCAGAGTGCGCTGTCAGTGTTGAAAAAAAAAATTTCTGAATAGAGTTAGCAACCTCATTAATGTATAAATAATGTGGTAAACAATAATAATTGGTTGAAAACTATTTACGCTTATTTTAAGTAAAACGGGATTTTGATTAATTCATTAACATTTTTTTACTGAAATAAGAGAAAACCTTTAAAGAATATAAGGTTTTATCAAGCTAAATTAGCAGTAAAATATTTAGTTCCATGTAAGAAGTTTACATCATTTACGTTTTTGAGTAATTTTTTAAATGATTTCTAAAAAAATTATATACTTTTTCAAAACCATTGCAATGTTTACAAAAGTATAATCCTGTAAAATAAATTTGTTTACAGATCCGAATTTTAAAATGAAATTGTATTCATATTTTAAATGTGGAATATAAAAAAAGTAACTATTTATACCTTCATCCATACTTATATTTTTTTTTAGCAGTTTGAAATAACTTTAATTATTTTCAAAATCTACGACAAAACGAAATGAAAGCCTTACAAATTTTTCAACAATAAATAATATTTTCTAACGAAAATTTCGATCAATGCCAACTTAAAGAAAAACACTGGTCAATTTTCTGTCACTGTGTTGGTATTGATTGCGAGAAGCACACGAGAGCATTACTTTTGAGAGTGCTCAATTGTGCGAAGCGTTGCTGTAGTTGGAACATTCAACGTTAAGCATTATGCCGCATAATGCGCTCTAGTGCTGTAATTGGAAAACGCACTGAGTGTCGCCGGGCGGCGGTATCACTTAACTTCAGATGAGCCTCCTGCCCGTTTGCAACCTATTACTTAAAAAAAAAACGTTTTTATAAATCTTTAAACTTTAGAGGATATTTTTTTAAGCTATTGCATAGCTTTTATCGCGGGCTTTGAGCGCGGCCACTGAATCAAGAAATTCCCTAAGGCCTAACGAAACTAAAACCTAACACCCCCCAAACCCTTCTGTCATTAATAAAGTTTTTATTTATTTATATTTTATTAATCCGCCTACCATGTAGCTCGGCCAAGCGTTCGCTTAACGTATATGGTACGACTGTACAAAGCTCGCACGTATCGAGACGAGCTGTTATATTAATAAAATAAAAAATAATATTATAAAAATTTAGAAAAAAAATATTCATACAAATAATTTGAACAAAATGAAATGATATTAAGAAGAGTTTGATCATCGAATTTCGCGCGATGAAGATTTATATAGATATAATATCTTTTCTAGTTTCTCTGCGCGGCATTAATGTGTATTTAAATTATACACAAAACATAGGTAATAAATAGAACATGTGCTTCGTTTAATGCTTTCTATGATATACATAATGAAGAATGAATATGTATACATATATATTCATTCTTCATTTTTTTTCAACAAAATCCCTAGTGTGTCAACAAGATACAAGTGTTGTCAATAAATAAATTTAAATCGTACATTAAAGTAAAACTGCTTGCTGTTGCCTATTATAATATAAATGAATATTTAAACGATCCTAGTGCTTGGATATGAGTTGCTCCCGTATAAATAGGTAACGCGACTGAATCTCTCGGCTGCATTTCCAGACTCTAGGGCGATCGTCAACATCCACGACTGATTAAAAAGAGTGGCGGAGAGTTTATTGCCAGTTCTTCTCTTCCGTTCTACGCCCTTGATTTGAGAACTGGCACTAAATGTAAAATTAGAAGCATTAATATGTATTTCTTTACTGACGAGTCATAAGTGTACAATGTGTTACCTATATGATTAAATGATTTTTGAATTTGACATACACATTGAGAATTTAAACTATGTGAGGGCTACTTTTAAGATCGCTCATTTTAATATCAAAAATTTAGGTTGTTTTTATAGCAGTATTAAATATAAATTAAAAAATATATACTGCATTTAAATAATAATATTATACTGTTTTATTTTTGAGAGCGGATTGAGCAGAGCAGTTGACGACTTTTCTGTCGGAAAAATTGAATTTGAATATGAATTAGGATACACAAGAATCCACAAAAAAATATGGGACCACTATTTTACGCGGTATTTTCCAGATATTTAGAGGATATGCAGGCTCAAACTTATGTTTCTTATTTCAGTTACCATAAACCTATAGTTTCAATGATAAAAATTCCTGAATAACCTCCATGTATTGAAAGATAATAATTTAAAATAAAATATTTAAATATTTTAAACGATATTACCTTCTTATTTATTCGATAAAATTCTTATCGGTCACGACGCTCAAAAAGTGTCACTTGAATTAATATTAAAAAAAAATACCGCATAAATAAAAACTAAATAAATAATTACAAATGCATAAGTTGATAAAAAAATTTATAGCTTTACCGAGGCAGTCCCCGAGTGCCAACCGTATTTTTTTGAAATACATATGTGTAATTAATCACAGGAGACACTTTAGGGAAAGGAAAACTTTGGAAAGCTTTGAGACGTATTTAAATTTTTTTACTCTATGGTTTAAATTACCGTGACAGACCGTTTTTAATCTGTAGTTCTATTAAGTACCTCTGTCATCTGTGCTTCTGTAAAGTACTACTGCTGCGGGCTGCCTACTATAAGTTTACACTTCAAAACTTAAAGTATTAAATATTTTATTACAAAAATAACATTCAAATGAAATGTTTTCTATTTAAGTAAACAGTGAAATGATTCCATAAGTGCATGATTCCATATTGGTGTAGCGTGAGAAACGATGACTGCTTGAATTCGCGGACTGTGATGACGAATTACCTAGGTATTATCGATGTGACTGTGTTAAATAAATTATAGCATAATTTTGGTACGTACACTTTTGTAAATCATTCATACAGTTTTTAAATAAAGCGTCTCTTGATCTCTTTATTTTACTCTATTTTTTGTAGTAATTGCTTACGACGTTACTAAATCACCATATTTCTAGAATTATTTATTAATCAATCATTGTTCATATTTCATAGGACGAACGAATGCTTTAATGAGCTCATCCATGATTGAAAATGCTTAATTATCTCAAATAGATGTTTCATAATTCTTAACAGTTAGTCTAAATGGACAGCTATTATTATATAAAAAATTTAATTAAATTATAACTAGGTAAATTAAGTGTCTCCAGCAATTAGTAATTACTGGAATCTACTGTAAACACACTACATAACAATATGTAAATATATATCAATGATTTTATAAATTTGATTTGATTCTTTGGCAGAATATTTGCATGATTTTCTTAATGTTCACTTATTAATGTAAAAAAAATTAAATTCATGTAAAATTCAGAAAATTGTGTCATCTACATATTTTTTTAATTGTAAAAATATAAGGTGAAATTCTCAGTGATGTTAATTCTAAAATGAAAAATAAATCAGGTACTACTTTAGACGTGTAAAATTTTTTTTATGACTACATCAGAGAACACATGTTTATTTTTATCGATATTTGATTAAAAATTTATCATACATGGTAACTTGATAGTATAATTACATTGTTAACATAAATAAATAGGCTTATTTGGTGACGGGATGATTATTATGTTTGTAATAATCGTCAGATTTAGAATTAATTAATTTGTTTGCCAAGCAGAAGTACTTTTAAGAAGCCCCAAAAGACCCTGACACAATAATTGATCAGTGTGTCTATAATTATGTTTAACCTATGAGTGTTATTGAGCTATAGTTGATAGTAACACATCTGTTTTCATATTATGATTAATGATACAATATCACAATATAGTGTATTTTGTATTCATTTACATTTTACACTAACCAGAAAGATTGTGGACTAGGCCATACCTAAAGTTAACCCAAAAACACCAGCTGAAAATTTAATGAATATAAACTTTCTACTTTTTAAAAGTATTTTTTCCGTTCAACTATTAAAAAATTAAACATTTTAATAATTGTTGCAGGTACATCAAATAAAGATGTTAAGATTCCTCAGTAGAAAAGGGAGATCATCCAGCCAGACTCGAAAGAAACAGAGTCAGAAAAATGCAACAAACAAAAACTTAATTCAATGCAAGGTAATGTTACTTGACGATACTGATTTAACAATAAATCTAACCAAAAAAGCTAGTGCTGCCGATTTATATGAACAGGTCTTTTATTCCTTGGACTTAATCGAAAAGGATTACTTTGGACTACAATTTACAGATACTAATAATGTTCAACATTGGCTGGATCCAACTAAAACAATTAAAAAGCAGGTTAAAATTGGACCTCCTTATACTTTGAGACTTAAAGTTAAATTTTACTCTTCCGAACCAAATAATTTAAGAGAAGAATTAACGAGGTATCAGTTTTTCTTGCAACTAAAGAAAGATGTTCTTGAAAGCAAATTGGAATGTCCTCATTCAACTGCTGTTGAGCTATCTGCACTAGCTTTGCAGTCTGAGTTGGGAGATTATGATGAAACTATACATACACCAGCAACTGTATCTGAATTTCGTTTTGTACCTAATCAGTCTGAAGAAATGGAAATAGAAATTCTAGATGAGTACAAAAAGTGCAAGGGCCTCACTCCTGCCCAGGCTGAAGTCAGTTATCTTAATAAAGTTAAATGGCTTGAGATGTATGGTGTTGATATGCATATAGTATTGGGAAAAGATGGCTGTGAATACCATTTGGGCCTCACTCCCACTGGGATACTTGTTTTTGAGGGGCCACAAAAAATTGGTCTTTTCTTTTGGCCCAAAATAACTAAATTAAATTTTAAAAAGAAAAAACTAACATTGGTGGTTGTTGAGGATGATGACCAGGGACGAGAACAGGAACACACATTTGTATTTCGGCTTCATAATGAAAAAGCTTGTAAGCATTTGTGGAAATGTGCCGTCCAGTACCATACATTCTTTCGTTTACGCGCCCCAGTCAAAGGACCATCAGCGCGGCAGAACTTCTTTAGAATGGGATCACGCTTCCAATATTCCGGGAAAACGGAATATCAGACTACTCAACAAAATCGTGCACGCCGTACTGTACAATTTGAAAGGCGGCCTAGCCAACGTTTTGCCAGACGACAGAGTCACGTACTGCGAGAGAGAGAGAAGCAAGTCACTCCTAAGACCGAAATTGCGCCTCAAACAGAGGCTTCAGAAACGGTGCCTAGTACATCCACAGCTGAAACCCCTGCTCCAACAACCACGACTATCGAAAGTGCTCCCGTTACTAATACTGAAACTGCCATTGAACCTTTTACCAGAAAAGGTAGTGCTAAATCCCAGAAGTCTGTAGAAATTAAAGAAGAAGATATCGAAGATAAAGAAGAAAAAGATCCGAATGAACCTGAGGTAGAGCCTTGGTTGTATACCCTGGTCTTTAGACACTGTAGAAGTTTAGATATGAAAACTTCACAGGGCTTTCAAAAAACCGCAAATCCCCTGTGGATACGTCCAGCGATCTCTTTTACATTTGAGTCCGTAAATGATAAGCAATCAAAAGTTGATTTACCAACTTAAACAGATGGCTTAAGAAATAGGAATTGTTTGCCCGTCGCGTAGCTATGAATATTCCTTGCAATATACATGTTGAGTTTACTTCAAACTTTAGCTAAATAATAATTGCTGTGTCATCACAACGATCAAATCAGAATAATGCTTTTATTCTTAGCAACTTAGTTTAATTTACCGAACAGAAATATTTTGCAAATTTTTATTTGTTATAAATTACTCATGTAACAGAACTTCTAATTTTCACTGAAGCTTGTATAAACGAATATCGATTGTACTGTTCGAAAGCTTCACAAGTTATTATGTAAATAATTTTGAATGAAAGACTCTACATATTGTCTTAGAAACAATTTCGATACTATGAATATAGTTTAGTAATGGGGGACTAAATTACTATTACTAACTGTTGACATGTAATAGAAATGTTGCTACATTATTATGGTCTGATCAGATCACTCGAAATATAAAAACATAGTTAATTTGCTTTAGCGATATGGAGTACTTTTCCAGATGGGTAAGAACCTTAGATTAGAATTTGAAATCGGTAACTTGATATCATGAAATAGGCATTACATCACTGTGGTGCCGCCCCCTCCATATACTCTTACGTTTATTTGTTAGAATGTGAACTAATTTGCAGTGTCGAAATTGATAAAAAAAATATGTTTTTGAATGTGAAATGACTTAATATATACAAATATTAATATAGTCCTAAACTACTTATTGTACTTATCACAGACGTTTTTATAATGTCAGTGAAATTCCAAATCACATTCCATTTAAGCATTACTTAATGTAGTATTAAATAAAACCGTCCCTGCTAACATATCGAGACTTAAGTGATGTATTATTCTATTGAATGTAATTGAGTACAATATTCAGTATTAAAAACTAACGAATATTTTTGGTGCCATAGCACATTATTTGTGTTCAAGACTAATTTTACAAAGTACATTAAAAAACAATAAAGCAACCTTCTATTGAACTGACAATTTATTTGTTTTAGAATTTTTGTTGCAGGGTTTCTGTTTTTACTCCGACTTTAAAATATATAAATGTAACCAAAACATCAAGGAGAAAATCAGACTTTAATGTGAAACCCAAGTTCAGCATTACATTTGTACATTCGTTTTTATTTGTATTAGTAAATAAGTTATCTTTAAACCTATACAAGTGCCCGAGTACTTAAAAGGAAAAATTATATAGATATGCAATGTTTTATAGTTAGAGATTTTACTTAAAATGGTGCTTAAAATTTATAAAAATATATTCAGATTATACAATTATACCTGTTGACACATGTAATTAAAAAATGTAATACTTATGAATTCATTAGCCTTATGAGATTTAAAATTGGGTTTATTTTATGCTGTGACCCAAACCATAGATATTGTTATTATCTTTGGTTAGGAAGCGTTCAAGTATTACGTCACGCAATTTTCGAACATTATTATTGACACCCCCTCTCCATGTAACGCGCCGTAACGTTTTTCTGTACCCAAGTACAGTAAAACGTTTCGTGACCACCTAGTGACTCTTTATATCTAAAGTTACCATTATGTGGTGTAAAGTACTGGAAATAATATTAATAATAACGTGTAATTCAATCCCCGCCCCGCATCGTAACGTTTTACAAAAGGAACCCCCCCCCCAAAATTCCCGAACGCTCCCTTATGTTAAACTTTTAATTTATAATAATTCGGCCTGTGTGATTTTTGATGAAGTTATTTGTAGGTTTAATTAATCTGTGTGATTTGTTATATTAAGCCAAATCAAATTTTGATTTTATAATGTATTTTATTAATTTAAACACTATGAATTATAATAGGTATTACAAGAAATATAAATTAAAATATAACATGACATTCAATTTAAATGTTAAGTTTTAAGAATTAATTATTTTCCTGATGTATAATTTCTTACTTGTATAATTAAATTTTATCTTACAGTTAAGTTATATTACTATTTTAACAATATCTCAAATGAAATAAAGATTTTAATTATATAATATTTTCTCTTACTCAGTATTACTGAAGATACTTATTTATTCATTGTAAATAACCATTTGCCTACCTTAAACGTTGACTTGGAAAAGTGTCTGTTGTGTACTTCATAATGACATAACGAAATAAAAAATATCGGTAACATCGGTCACCAAGAAGGTTTCATATATGTACCTTTTTTTGTTATAACAGTAACAAATCTGTGGCAGTGGACGCTTTTATTGCTGGGACTGAATTTTCCGTTTTGGCGCCAATCCTAAATTCATGTTATACCTACGCAATATTGTATCTTATTATTGTTTAAAAATCTAATAATAGTGAATCTAAATAAAATTTAATCCGCCATATTTAAGTGGCAGAGTCAAATTAAAGAACTAAGTCGAGAAAATTATATGATATCGAAATTTATACTACGGTAATAATTGTAGGTACATATAATATTTCTAATAAGGTTTTTTGTGCATTTTTATCCTTTTAACATTGAAAATTACGGCACTTTATACATTTGTTTATCATTAATTTTCCAAATCCTAAAACTGAGAATTTTTAAATCGCAAAATCCACTGCTAAATTTTCAAGTTTCTAATCGGGGTCTCCAGTCTCCAACTGCGACAATATGACAAAGGAATTGTATAGGTACGATAGATTCGTAGTCTGATAATTAGGTTAAATAGGATACTAGGGGTATAAAAAAGATTTTTTATTTAATTAAAAATAGTTTATAATACCCCTAGTACTTCCAATAGGAAAGTCAGCAGTGTTTAAAAAAGTTTTTATGTGGAACGAATTGTCATTTCAACATTGTCATTGTCAACTCTTTGTGATTCAATTTGAAGAAACGGTATTTAATACTTCATAATACAAAAAATATTTTGCAATATGAAGAAATCTATGGAAAAACTGTCTTCAGATAAATCGCTTTCTGAGGCCGATGTCTTGTTTTCGTTTAAACGTTATTTTATTAACAATGTCGATTCATATCACGGCGAATGTATCTTAAAGGAAGTATCTAAAATATTAGAGAAAAATGCAACAGAGTCTGTCAAACAGTATTCGCAGACAATGGTGCTTGGTGAAGATGCAGTAGATATGGGTCCAGCCCCGCCACCTGAACAACCATACGAAATTTTCGGTGAGTTTTTTTTTCTTAGAGAAATTCAAAAAGTTTTTATAATTCTACTTTACGTAAATATATATATTTTGATGAACAGAAATTTTACTGAAAAAGTATATTAGATTTTTTTAACTACTTAATTATAAAAATGGTCGAATGTAGATGGTGGAAACCAGTTTTTTTAACCGACTTTAAAAATCCTAAATTGTGTTATTTTATTTCAAGGTACCGTCACCGATGCTAAAATAAAATCTATTGACAACGTTGCTCGGATAGTGCCTAAGGCAGAGTGTTTATCGTCCATGCTGACATGTGGAACGCTTGTTTTGGACATAAGTTATGATAGAAACGAGCTATCAATAGTCGTGGACTATTTAAAACGTTAGTATATAGCGGAATACATAGATGGATATTCGGCACCTAAGGGAGCATTCAAGTATTACGTAACGAATTTTGGGAAGGGGGGGGGTCTATTTTTAAAACGTTACGATGCGTGGCGGGGTTTGGATTACACGTAATTGTTAATATTATTTTCGACTTTCCAGTACTTTATAATGGTAACTTGTAGGTATTTAAAGAGTCACTGGGTGGTCACGAAACGTTTTACTATTGGGTACAGAAAAACGTTACGGTGCGTTACATGGGGGGGGGGTCAATAATCTCCGAAACTTGCGTGAAGTAATACTTGAACTCTCCCTAATGGACAGGTTGACCTATAGGCTGTGAGATTCAGAAACGAGGCTTACGTCAGAAATGTAATGTATTTTGATATACGGCATTCAGACTTAGTGCTAAGCTTCATTTCTTAATTATAACCTTAGGTATATAAAAACTTGCACAAAACTAATTAAAAAAGAAACAAAAACAGCATTAATGGAAGTCTCTTCCACGCCGCCCTTACGAAAATGTGATAATAATTGAAGATGTGGGAAAATAACAGCAATGATCAAAAAATCATACTTTTTTTAAATTTTATTCATGCTAGTCAGCTATGTTTATAAAAAAAAATCTTTAAATATAAACGCAACATATTGACCACGACTATAAAGTGACAAATCTTAAGTATCTACTCTGTTTTAGTTTTAAAGGATTTATTAGAGAAACAGTCTGGTCAAGTAGTACCTACAGACGATGATGGCGGGGCAGGCGAGTCTAAGAAACGATATCTCATACTCGTATCTACTGTTATGACTTGGGGTGTTACGAAACCACTCGACCCGGTGAGAATCTTCGCTATCAATAGATCAATATTCCAATTGTACGTAACGATAGGTATGTTATCTAAGCAACCTACTTGTGTGAAGGAAATTCGTTTGACTTATAAAAATATTATGTTATGAATGTATTTTATCGCCGTAAGTACATTTAATTTTTTTTGGCAATTGTTTTGTGTATATGTTTAAAAGCATGAGTGAATAGTGGATCAAAAAAGTGGATGAAGCGAGAAACATAATTATGTCAAGATAGTAGCAAGAAGAGATCTGTTGTCTCTACGTGAAAAATCGTAAATTTGGTAAAAAAAAAATTATTAAATCAAAAATCAGGAGTACTCAGATTTTACACTCAGGCTGTAAATTTGCAATTTTATTTATATGTGCGATGCGGTCGTACAGTAAAGACATTGTGAATCAACTAACATAATATGTCAAACAATGTCTTTAGCGCGACCAATATGAACAATAGATTCATTAATGGAAAACTTAGAAGCACCGCGTGGGTATTTAGCACTAAACACGAAAATGCATCTTCCAAAAAGAATACGTGTAGTAAACTATTCCCAGTATTTATAATCACTAAATTAGTTAATAAAAGGACTGGTTTTTGTAGCATAAATGTAATCTGACACAAAAAACAGTGCAATGATTTTATGACGTAGGTACCTATGGAAAGGC